CACAAGAACTGGGATGATATACTCCCTTACGTAACTTTTGCTTACAATACAGCAGTCCAAGAGAGTACAGGTTTCACCCCATTTCGCTTAGTTCATGGTCGAGAGGTCACTACAATGCTCGACGCAATGCTCCTTCCCAACAACTTGAGCATGTTCAACATGGACGCCGCATTGTTTGCTCAACGCGGTGAGGAGGCCCATCAACTTGCCCGATGTCGCATTCAGGCTCGCCAAACTGCCGACGCACACCGCTACAACCTTACACACCGAGAGGTTACCTTCCAACCAGGCGATGAAGTTTGGGTGTGGACTCCCATCCGACACGGTGGTCACTCTGAGAAGTTGCTTCGGCGCTACTTCGGCCCTTACAAAGTTCTGCGCCGACTCAGTGACGTTACGAATGAAGTTCTCTCTGAGGGCACCTCAAGACGTTCCCGTCGGTTTCCGCAAAGTAATGTAATGCACGTGTCAAGACTCAAGTCATATTTCTCGCGTCATCCATCGAATGTGGACTAACTTACCGTGCATTGACTATTTTTTTTTGTCACTTTGGTTTCTTTTTGATTGTCTTGTGTACTTACTCCTTTCTTTATTGAGTACTTCTATGGCACCAGGCCATTTTTTTTTTCCCTTACGACGGAGTTGTTGGGTTCCATGGTAGCATCTTTTATTTCTCATTTTTTTCTCAACGCTCATTACCAGCATCGAGCCGATGCTTTTCGAGGAGAGGGAGTAATGTCACAGGTAATGGGTATGAGCCATCAACTGTAGGTGGAATCCCTTGGAAGTGAAGAAAGAAGAGGGCTTTTGCGTCCTGGTCTGAGGGCAAGCAAGACGTGGGCAAGCAAGATGTCGATTCGTCGCTGTCTGTTATTACGTTCGCGGCAATATACATAACATTTTTAAAATTTATTATACTTAGAGCATATAAGCCATCATAACTAGCTTATAAGCTTAACAAAATGAATTGATTTGAGAGTATTATTTTCATTTAAATGAACCATGTGATACTTTTTCAAGTAGCCATGGAATGGATTCACTAAAAAAGCTTATTTATTGCCTCATGAATTCACCGCCGCAAGTATCTTTTTAGAATTCGTTGAGTATGCGCGGAGTTGCAAAGATTTCTCTCACGCTGCAAGTGCATTATCTTTTCTCGTCCCAACGAAAGCACTGGAAGCTAAGCACAAAGGGATGGCACAGGGAAAGAAGATACATCACACGTGCTTTCTGAGCTTGTGAAGTCATTTGCTGAGAGAAGAGAGCAATTTTTAGCTGACTTTGATATATTATTGTGAATCGCAGGCTGCGTGCTGCGCTATAATATTTGGCTTGCGTGTCCTCGGCAGCCTCGACTACCAATCGGCAGCTTTTTTTTTTTTTACAATGCTAAAAAAATGTTGAAAGGCCTCTTTAAATTTGAAGGGGGACTTTGTGGCAGAGCGTACTTTTCCTGAATAGGTGCTTTCACTGTTTGGCACCCCTACATTGCAGTAAAACCATCTTTGCAAGCAATACATATGGATTAATTGCACCTATTCATTCCTTGCAAATACTTCAAGATTTTCAATAACTTAAAATCGAATCTAAGCGAATTTAAGCATTCTACTACTTGTTCAAATATTTGAAGCATTCGAATATTTACAAAAGCTTAGTAAGGATGTAACGTAAAATGTTTACTCTTCAGGGAAATCCTTTTGTAGCAGTCAACTGAAACCAACTAATTGTTGGCTAGTTGGTTACAGTTATAGTTAATTACACTGGGCCACTATAACCAACTAACTGTTGGTTATAGTGGCCCAGTGAGCCTTCTTTTTGAAAGGAATCAAAAAGTCCATTCAACCCAAAACATAACTGCATAATATTTAATGGCAGCTGCACTCTAAATTTTTCACAAAAACTTATGAAAAAAATCAATTTCATTCTTATTCTCAGTCAAACATTGTTTCAAGAAAATTCACCCACTTTTCTATAACAAACTAGAACCAATGCGCACACTGTCGTTCTTTATGAAAGGGAACACGCTATCATAACCTGCTCTCTACAACGGCTGCCTACAGTATCTTGCAATGCTTGTCCAGCGGTCATAACTCGTTTTGTTTGCCAATAGATGACGCCAAAAGCCAACGTCTTTTCTTGGGCTGTCGGTTGATGATGGCCCTGTAGGCAGCCACCGCAGAGCGTAGGCCACGAGCTCACATGTTTTCTTTCATAAAGGACAACAGTGTACATTCGTATACACCATGACGAAAAACACCGATATACAGCTACTTCTTGACACAGCCTAACAATATGTTTCTTGCTTTCTTGTCAGTAAGACAAGGGTGGAAGCAGGCTTCAGTCTTTTGGAGCAGCTTTGGGAGCAGGAATATTATGGTTTTGGATCAGATTTGGAGCAGTAAAAGGGGAGTTTTGGAGCAGCTCTGGAGCACGAATAGATGTATTTTGGAGCATCCAAATTTAGCTTTGGAGCAGATTTCTTGGGTCATACATCACTGTTAATTAGAATTTTTGCTTTCTCATAAAAACAAAAATTTCAGAGGTTGTTTTTAATAAGCATTCAATGGTGATTAAGTGACCAGACTTACCCCAAATTGATAAATATATTAAATCTTACAACATCAAAGCTGAAAGCACAGTAACTCAAAGACAAAAGATAAGCGGCACCACGATATCTACCAGACCTCAGACGAATGAAAAAAAAATTGATGTTCAAATGTGGCAATGTTCAAGATGTGAATAAAACACTGCATCCAACATGAACAGCAAATCAATTAGAGTAGAGATGAACTAATAAAAACTATATTCATACTAAACTAGTAGGGCTCTATCAAAATGAGTGTAAAGAATTTATGTTCCGGTCATTGAAGTGCTAGAGCCGATCATGAGAACCACGAAGAAATTTAGATGGGCTCGCCGCACCATTAGGAAGTTTTTGAATAACGTTTGCAGGCGTTGCGGGCATAGCTGGCACCATATGAGTTTTAGAATAGCATTTGCCCTCCTGCAAACCGTAACATGTAATCGCAGCGGCTCAGTAGCCTCAAAACTAGCGTTTGCAGGCCGCACACACCACCCGCTATTTTGAATTTCCTGCGTGCGAGCCGCGAACGTGAACAGCGGCTCGCGTTACGACGCATGCACAGTGGCAGCGACCGCACCGCAAGGGCTCGCGGTGCGCTATTTTAAATCTCCCTATTGCTAGGCAATTAAGTGATTTTTTAAATTATGATATGAACTATATGAACACTCGGTTGGTTTTTGCGATCAACGGCTTGTTCCGCGTAAACTACAAGTTGGTAACGTTTCGCGCGCATTGTACGTTCTACCTGCACGTAAGATTCCGCAAGCTGGGGTGGTGAGCGCTACTCAAGCAGACATTAAACGAAGCAGCTGATCTCCATCGCTTACTCGGAGGGTGGCGCATGTGATAGTATCCCACCGCGTGTTGCACCTGCCGCCAAATGCTCAAGCAGAGATGAAACACGCCGCTTGTCTTGAACGAGCGTGAAAAAAGACCCAAGGGAAAGGGGGGGGGGGGGGGTGCTCGAGCAGCAGCGGTTAGCTTTGATTCTAAGGGCATGGTTGCGATAAGCTAGCGCGCGCGCCACAGCAAGCATTAGCACGTGGCTCGTAAACTCTTCTACGAAGTTAGCTCTAAACGTGAAGAGATTGTGCAATAAAAGCATTTATCCCTGGAGCGGCCGTCCTTATTCTCTTAAACCAGCGTTTTCTAGAGTGTCACGATGTCGAATCCAAAAGAATTAGCTTTCAGCCTTCGTATCGTCACGGGGTCGTGATGTTGACGAAGGCAGCAGCCGCTGTTTCAACAAGTGAACTTTTCATTTGGGCGAACCTGTTCCCTGAAAACGAGGCGTCATTCTACGAGCAATATGCGCTGTAGACTGATAAGAGCCAACCAGAGCGTCAGCCGTCGATAATCTGCCAAGCAGCAAAGTGCATCGGCGTTTATACATGGGCCATCAAAGATTCCAGCGTTATCGCTAGCGGCCGTGTAAGTTCCAGAACTCTAATGTACGCGTTGTGCGTGTAATCTCATCGGAAGGTTCTAAGATCCCAGTCATTCGGGCGTGGTTTGCGCAAGGCAGCGTTACATGCCTAATGATGTGGTAGCAAAAATAGAAAGCAGCGCGTGCGGCATTAGCATTACAACATTACCAATTCTTGCTGTTGCAGTCATCGCTTCGCTGGTGAAACTGATTTTTAGTTTGGTTTTTTTTTTTTCGGTTTACATGATTCGGCTAACAGCTTTGCTGTTCAAACATATATTGAGTCGCATAAAGAGGTATTCACACAAACGCCACCTTAACAAGATTCATGCATGAACTAAAATACGACGTACTAGTGACACAGAATCAATAGACGTGACCGAACTATTTGATATGGATGCGGTTGCATCCTTAGTGTAGCACATGGGTGCTGCTCGGTCAATGATAAAAATTTAATAAATTGGGAATTGCACACGCAAATTGCCGTTTAGGCGCAACAGATCAAATTGGCACAAAATGGCGCAAATGGTACAGCACTTCCATCCCTGGTAAGATGGTTTTCACCACCATGGAGTGCAAAGGTGCAGCGTATGGACACGCAAATATACTTTGGGTAAAATTTTTTCACTCAAATTTGGCAGACCAGCTCACACATGATCAGAATACGCATGCTTTCACTCACTATAATAATTGAACTCAAAAAATGATTGAATAAAAAGGGCCTATTTTTGTCCTACAACAATAATCGTCGTCCGGCTTGCTTGCGCTTCCTTTCTTGAAAACCCGGCGCAGGCCATTTTCGTATCAAGAATGCTATGTCACGCTGATAACACGCATGTCGTTCGTAACCCGAAAAAACTAGGTGTGCGGAAATAATGCAAGGAAAGGAACGCAAGACAGATGACAATTATTGTTGTGGAATAAAAAGACACCGTTTTTACTCTATCATCTTTAGAGTGTAATGCCAAATGTTGCCATGTAAAAACTCACTGATCTTGCTCTAGGTACAGGCTTTCTTGGAGGATTGTACTTATGCTCCCAAGTGATTTTTGATTCCACCAAGCCTGCATCCTCGCCCCAAGGCTACGGAAAAATGAAAATCAGAATGTTTTACTGAGAAAAAATTAACAATAAAAAATAATGTACTAAATCTTAATTTCCCTGAACAAACTTCTGTTCCATATTATATGAAAGTAACACTAAATGAAAAAAAGCAGCTCTAAGGCGATCAATTTTCAATAGGTTACAACAGCGTTGGCAACGGTTACCCACGATGGGCAGTAGTGAAAATGCTGCCCACCACTCCGGTTCACCACCAGCTGCTCTGTTTCAATGTCCACTGGTTTTGATATACCACCCATTACTCCGACAGATCCCTAAAAATGTGTACCTCAGGAACTAAAAAATAAGATAATTGCTGTGCCTCCCGCCACCTGCTTGCCTAAAACAAAGTCTGAACAGGTGGTCTAATGCTTTTAAAAAATTGTCAATGCTAGTGCGAACACTTGAACACAAGCATCCTTGCTTCTATTTTCTGTGTGAATCCCACTGTCAGTGCTTGTGTAGATGTGTATCATAGCTACCAGAAATACCCAACCAGAAATGAAATCTTAAAATTTTTTAAACAACTCATTTTCAACAAACTTAAAATCTTGCCTCCCAACTGCCCACCTTGCTTGCTTTCAAAATATTCACCCCTCAAAAATTTCTGGGGAGAACCCTGGATTAAAACAAGAACCCCAAAAAATTGATGGCAGTGAATTGTTGCAAAAATCATTTAGATGTATTATGTGGAAAACGTTGCTTTAGTCCTTGTCTTTCTATCTGCTTGCATTTTTCTCAACCTGATGAGTATTTGTACATTACAGTTAGCGATACTATTTACCCTGCTTACATGCTTTTGCTGCTATCATATTCTATTACTTTGTAAATATAAAGGGTTTTCGATCACAAAATTATGACATGATAACGACACATGCCAATAAGCACTGAAACCTCAAGTAAATTGGTGTTTTTGCATTTAGCCCGCCTTCACACCACAGTCTATGTAGCTAGTAATCAAACTTGTGTCCCTGGTTCCCATGCCTAGGAGCTTAACACTATGGCCACTAAGCCATTAGTACAACGAGTGAGGCTATTTAGTAACTTAACATAAAAGTAGCACATTATAGGTAGAGAACGACAAAATAGGAAAGGTCCTATGCTATACCACAATTGAATGTCCAAGCTTGCCATATACAGGCCACGGCACTGCCCTCATAGTCACAATCATTTAACAAAAGTGATGAAACACTGGAGCAATCGACAAGTCCTGGCTATATGTATAAATAGTAAATATAAATGCAGTAAATAGTCTAAATACTTACACTAAATAGTGGAAAAGGCCCTTGCACTGCTTGCCCAGTGGCCAGTGGAGACAAAGGCACAGATGCTTTTCCAACAAAATAACCAGGCTCAGCACCATCTTCAAGTAATAGCAGTACCAAGCTCTGCAGATTAAAATTTTAATTATGCAACATTTTTTTCTGATGTCACAGTGTAAAGAAAAAGCACATCACTTTCTCTAACGCGCTGGCTGTGTAAGTGAAAATAAAAATATTTGAAGAAATTCCTCTCAAATCAATCATAATTTTGATGACTAAATTCATAAACTAATGAATTAGCTCAAGGTCGTGATTACCTACATAAATAAATTAGGTAATTTGGGCAATAAGAAAGTAAAAAAGGAGACATAAATATCCGACAACTGAGCTTAGAATAAATAACTTACTAGTAATTTTAAAGCTTGAAAGTCATAACAGATGATTTTTTTTTTTTCAGATAGCAACTTATAATAGTTAAGATGATAACATGAGCTGATATAGTGTTCTATGTGTAAAAAGAGTTTCTGCAGAAATCTGATAACTATTTTAGCTGTATGGTTAAGAAAAAACAGTGTGCAAATAGGATGCACAAGAAAGACTAAGAAAGAAAACAAGCCCTAGAAGTGTTGCCTCTCTTCTCTTCACCTAGTTGAAGCAGTGTTATGAAATTCTGCACAATGTTTCTCTAAGCCAAGTACTATAATAACTACCCACTGTTAACACAATCTTGTCACTTGTGCATAATGAGAGCTCTTTAAAAACATATTATTCATGCATCCTCTTTTGCTATACGGTGAATTCCAGCTTAAATTCATGGAGCATGAGCATTAGCAATTGGAGGAAGTGGATGTGAAATATAACCTGTGAAAGGAGTTGTTTGTGAAGCTGGCTGTCCATTTTGACAGGAAAAGTGTAAGTATGATGAAAATCAACGCTGTTGTCAACTGCAGTCGCAAACCCAGTCTGTTGCTCCGGAAAGTCACACAGCTGATAGCAGCAATATAAGCTCTTCTGCAGATGTCCTGGCAATAAAAGTAAGACTTGTTTGTTACAACAGGTACAGATACAGCTGAAACAAAAAATAACTGTCTAGCTCCTTTTTTTTTTTGTAATGAAGTAAGGGATATTATGATTGACACTTTGCAATTGTGAATTACTCCATCGTGAACTTACTTACAGCGCAACACCAGAAAAAATACAGGACAGGGAAGGAGCAAAAGAGAAAGAAAAGACGGCACTGTCTTTTTTTGACTTACTCACTGAATCGATGTACTAATCCATCATTGCACCACTGATCCAATTGAAGCATTGCGAAAACCTCTATTGCAGTATACAGAGGTAATCTGAAAGCTTAATATCAGCACACTACACTATACACACACGTACACACACTTTTTTGTTTTTCGCTACTGACATCTCGTAAAACAATATATCAAATAATACCACTACTCAATGACTACAAAAGTGAATACAATTTTATCACAATTAGTGACACGTTCAATCAAACAAATAAGTACGTACTATACGTTGCAAATTTAGTTCAATTAGCAGTATATATTCACATAAAACAATTGACATATGCAAACACCAAGTGAAGAGTCATATGCCTAGGATTAATTAGTGGTGAGAAAAAGGACACTAACACAAGAAAAAATTACATGTGAACACAGCCTAAAATATACCACTAAATGGTTCTAACAAAGTAAGTAATGAGGAAACAAGATTTTGTAAGTGTAAAGTGGAACAGAACGCTGGTGTTTGAGTAATGAAAGGTAATAAATGATTACTATGTCAATCACTGGATTCAGAATCTAATGAACAGAATGAAACGATTTCATGAGTACTGCTTAAAGAAACAATTCCATAATTCAAATGAGTTTGTTAGAAAAGCAAGGTTTCTATGAAAGAGCATGATGTATAAGAAAAACACACGCCCTAAAAAGTGATAATGCCATATGCTCTTGTCACTTAAAGTACATGATGTGGTGGGTAACATAAGTTTCAGAGTATAGATAAACTAATAAATTTTAAACACTGAGACAGTGATGTACCATGAAACAAGAGCTGACATATATGTACAGGGTAAGTAGGCACAGAACTGCAACATAGTAAGTATGTGTAAAAGCATGACTATGGCCATAACTTTGGTAGTGTTTGTTATCCACACGTTATAAAAAAGAGAAGGTCTGTATTTTTTTTTAAATACTTGTTTGCATGAGTTAGTCATTAAATAAGTTTTTTTTAACAATTTTGATGTTCAGTATCATACCTTTTGACAACAAAATACTCTTGTACTATGTGATTTGAACAGTGTGGGAAGTACAATAAATTAGCAGAAAAATATGTAAATGACTGTTAAAGTGGTACAATGATGCACTTGCAACTCCTACTAATGTTGGTTGTGCAACTAAATAAACAATACAAAAACATCATGGCAAGAGATGAATAACCCCAAATATATGCAGCAAGTTCTACACAAGCAGTATTGATAAAGCTACAGTGATGAAGACGACAGTGAGACTAAATAAAAGCATTGAGAAAGAACAAAAATGTACAAGTATGAGTGTTCCGGTAAGATAGTAGATTTACACCAATTATCACTTTGTCTAGTCAGCAAGAATTCTCCCATTTTATTTATCTTTCCTCCTAAAATCAGTTATTTCATACAACAGCACTTTTAATGTAATGGGTGTCATTAATCATTAAGGTGCCTTTAAGTAATGGGTGCCATTATTAGGCCAAAATACTTATGCTAAAACGTTTGCAATTGTTGTGTTTTAGATCATGTGTTTTCTTTTGATCTTGTCCATCGACTATGTTCTCTGAGGCTGAACTATAGAATCTACATTTCTTCGAAGTAAATTCAATGTCATTTGTCTATGACTTTTTTCTTTATGTTCAGCTTTTAGATAAAAATGCTAAAGATTATGCAGCCTCAAAAGATGAGAGCTAAAGTGGCTGGCATTATATTTCAGGATCTGAATGCATCAAACTAGCAGTCATTATGAAGCACAACTGAACACATTTCATTTATAGTAAAGGCGTTCACTCCTCGACAATGGCTAAATATGGCTTAAAATGACAAATGGAACAGGCATAACGCACCACACACAGATACCTGTTACCTAAAACGATTTTCTCATAAGTGACTAGTATTGCTGCTTGTGGTACCGCCTCCACCCTTCCCCTTCCTAAAAATGTATTTGCTGAACTGAAGAATGTTAAGCACCCTCAATAAACATTGTGGTGACCTATGTTTCCTTTAAGTATAAAAATGGGTCATACTGTCAATATATAAACAAAGCAGCTACAGCACAACATAAAATGAATTCAATATACCTTGTTTTGATGGTATTGTTATACAGCGAACAATGCTGACTTTAAGCTCATTGTACACAGCACTGCCCATTTCTCCATTCTGCTTTTTGCTTTGATGTCCAGAATGAGGCAACACTTTTGGTGGTGGCATTGGCACTGAAAGCTGGAAATATTTCATTTAAATGCCAGTGACAGGAAACAGGAGTCTGTGTACTGTATTGTAACAGGGTGCTTCAAGTAATTTAAATTAAGTTTCAATCAGAAGTCGCACATCATCAAAAAACATTAAGAATAACAGCACATTGGTCTGTTGTTGCTTTAATTATGCAAATGCATCACTATCACACATAGGGCTTGTAGGTTTAGCATCTTGCAAGATGAAGGTGCAGTGCACCCAATACAGGACCATAAGGAAGACAAGCTTTTACAGTCGAATGAAGGCATGCATGGTGGCATGTTTCACAGCAAAAAGGTGTGATCCTTTTGGTTGTTGAAAGGTAGAATCAAGTGTGCGTCTCTTTCATGTTTTGTCATGTCCCATATTGGGAGCACTACATTTTTATCTCACAAAGTGAACTCCAAGCATATCTTGTAACACACATAATTGTAAAAAAAAATTAATTACTAATCAAAATTTAAAGTAAGTATTTGCCCCAACTGTTTCTTGAAAAGATGTGAAGTGCATTTGGATCGTTTGAATGCAATATATTTTTACAATATTAGTCATTGCATGATAATAATAGCTATTAATTAGGGCTTTTAGGCTGCACCAATTACAGTGCTACTGCTGCAAGTCATTCCTGTAGTGCTTTCTGGTTATTACTAGCATCATCATGCCATCATGTGAATGATAGAATAAACCATATAAAATAACAGAAAAGGCAGTCATTCAACTGGTTTTGCACCAGTGACCATGCCCTTTAAGGATACTCAAGCATTCTGCACAAATGAACAAGAAAATTCATAATGCTCATAATATTACAAGCCTTATTTACTGTAATAAAGTTTCAGTTCATAAGACTATGATTAATTCAATATCGACTGAACATCTTGGTGCCCGCACATTTATATGGGACCAAGCTTTCGTTAATTTGATCATAAAATTAGACTCTGCCACTAAATTTAAACTTGGCTGGTCCTCTTACACATGCCCAACCTCTATAGTTACAGCAGCAATATTTCCATCAGCATTAACATCCTACTTGATGGCTTGAGTGCAGTTACAAATACATTGAACTTACACGTGTTCCCAAACTCGTGTGTGAAGAATGGACAGTACACTACAAGGTCTGTTAAAAAAATATCCGACCTCATTTCTTTTTTTGCGAGCACCTGATGGATTTGAAACAAACACGCTTGCATAAGCCGACCTTGAACCTTCATGTGCATGCATGAATTTTTTTCTGCCTGCCAGTCGCTAGGACGCAGTGTTTGAGTGAGATAGTGTGCAGTGCTCTCATTGGTTTTTCATTGCAAGGAAAATGACGGAGCAACTAGAGCCTCGCTACTGCATCAAATTTTGCCAGAAACTGGGCGAAAGTCAAGTGGAAACCATCCAGAAGATCAAGACGGCTTTCAGTGATGATGCTATGAGCTGCACACAGATTAAGGAGTGATACAACCGGTTTAAAAACCGCCGCACATCGGTGGGGAGCAAGCCACGCTCCGGTCGGCCATCAACATTCCGAAATGACCAGCTCATTGCCGAAGAGAACGCTGTGGTGATGCGGGACCGTCATATGGCCATCCGGGAAATTGCAGATGAAGTGGGCATCAGCACATTCTCTGCACATTCCATTATGACCAAATATTTTACCATGAAAAGAGTTGCGGCAAAATTCGTGTTGAAACTGCTCACGATGGAGCAAAAGCAACTTTGTGTTGAAGTTCACAGGACATGATGAATTTCTCAAGCAGTGACCCTAACTTCATGAACACCATTATCACTGGTGATGAGTCTTGGGTGTACGGGTACAACCCAGAAACCAAATCCCAGTCATCACAGTGGAAGCATTCTATGCCACCAAGACCAAAGAAGGCCCGCCAAGTGTGCAGCAACGTCAAAGTGATGCTGAGTGCTTTCTTTGGACTCCCACGGTGTGGTACATCAGGAGTACGCACCACAGGGTCAAACAATCACCGAAGAGTACTACAGGGGTTTCCTCCGTTGCCTACGTGATGCTGTGCGGCGCAAGAGACCTGAGTTGTGGTCAACAGGAAACTGGCGCATTCATCACGACAATGCTCCAGCAAATTCCTCACACTCAGTTCAGACTTTTTTTAGCGAAAAGTCAGACTCCTGTAGTTCAACAGCCTCCTCGCTCTCTTGATATAGCTCCCTGCGACTTCTGGCTGTTTCCCAAACTCAAGAGGACATTAAAAGGAGAGCAATTTGAGACAAGGGATGGCTGCAACGACAGCTGAGATAAACTCTATTCCGAAAGAGGCCTTCTCAGAATGCTTCCAACAATGGCAGCCCTGCTGGGAGAAGTGTGTGGAGTCCCAAGGGGACTACTTTGAGGGGGATTAGGTTTCCAACACTCCAATTATGCCTGCTTTTTTTACTTCCACCAAAGGTCTGATACTTTTCTAACAGACCTTGTAAAAAAGACATGTTCTGATGAACATTGCTCGACAGACAACACTGCCAAAGGTCACCATGCCGATAAAGTGTCAACTGCCTGGCATAGCTCTCCAAAAGCCCAACAAGCAGGAATACATCTGCTGAAAGGACATTTCTTGTTCTGTCGAAGCAAAGAGCTTCATCTATTCGAGCTTCTTGCAAGAAAAGTGTCACTAACCATCAGACTTCTAGTGATCATCAATCTACATGCATATCATTGGTAGATTGCAGAAATTCTGGCCAAGCGTAAAGCTATTTTTAAGTTTTACCATGTCAATAAACTTTTAATCTATTGCATATGCTGCAGCTATAGTGTACACACGCTCAATGTACTCACAAAGACACCACTGTTCTGTAAACCTCTATACACAAGCTGAAAGAAATACAAGAAAGAGAAGATGAAAGCTTGTGATGAGAAATTTGAAAACAGGAGCTGGGTGCTGAAGCCGACGTTTTTACAAGCGGACTTATCTTTTCTTCACAGTTGCAGCCTTAAAATAGACAAGTCCACTTGTCAAAACCTCAGCTGCAGTACCCACCACGTTTTTGAACTGTACACGAGCTGGTACCACTTAAAAAAATAATAAAAAAGAAACATGGAACTTAGAGACTTGGTAGGCTTTCTAATGCATCAATTAAGCTTAATTTTAATTGTAGAATTTGAATGCAATACAGGAAACATCTAAGCGGGCTAAATTCATAGCTAGATATGCATTCACAGCTTACCACAGTCTGTTCCTTTCCAGAAAATGCTTGAGCACACCCTACTTAGCAAGTGTAATGCGAAAACAGCAAGCATGAATGAGAACACAACTCAGGTGATGATGTACAGACTCTCTTTGACGACTCAAGACAACATGAGCCAATGCCACATACACCAGTGTATGCCGGTATAACACCGTGTAGAATAATACAAAATAGATTGTGTGCGTGATATGAAGAACCAGTAAATGAAAATCACACATTTTTGATGCAATGATGCTGCCACGGTCCTTATTCAATGCAAATACTAAAAGCAAAATAAAAAAGATTTCGCTCTTAATGATTCAAAACAAATGCTGCCACTCAAGGTGCGTTCGTTCTATTGTGTAGCAGCACAAGACAATGTGGCTCTTACACAAATATGTCGATCCAGACGCATTGTCCTAGCTGTGACCAAACAGCTTGTATAGGTATATGGCTGCTTATAATTTTGTAGTCATTCTTATCGAACATACTACAAACCACAGAATAGAAAGTTTGCTTCGCTACAGGACATGCATTTTTGTGATGGTCACTTCTATGCCCCTCCATTCAATTGAATGCCTTTCACAGCAAAAGCAGTTGATAGCAAGAGCTTTAAAAAAAAAACATGTAAAGATAAGCTCTGTTACCTGCTTTATCACGCATACTGCTTTAGCTACACTTCTTTTATATGCATATGGCAAGTTGGCAAGACTTCAACGCACAGGCCCAGACATTTTATATCTGTCATAGAAAGTGCGCAACGTTAGTAAGCCATCTACCACATTTGAAATCCAGTTCCCTCTTTCCATCATGCTCACTGATAAAGAATGCCATTGTCTACAGAAACACCTGGGCCTTGATTAGTCAGTTATGATTACAGTGGTCTGGCAAATGTATGGTTGCAAGTCCAGCATTTCTCTTATAAATTTCTTTGCCTTCACTTTTACTTTTTAGATGTGCTGATTCGATATCTTGAATTACTCAATAAAAGTCATTTATGAATATTCACAAAAAAAGCTAAATGTCATATTGATTTGGTGATTTCATTAGCTGGGCTAGTACAGTCTATAATTAAGCCTATAGGCTATATAATTAAGTATTCAGAACCTTACTCATGCTTGAAAAATCTTCAACTCCCCAAGCCATGACAAACTTCAGCATGGTTTAGGAAAATCCCCCAGACGGGCAAATTTCTTTTATTGTCTAGTTTGTAACTGTTGCCCCTTTTCAAACTTTTTTTCGGTAACCCATGATTTGCCCACAATTTTCCAAGAGGGCACATCCTATCCTAAGCTGCTCCTCATTTACTGCCACTCTGCCAAAGCCTTTTCCAGCATTTGGCTACTGCGCATTTTGTGCTGGCTGAAAAGCCTCTGAAATTCAAGTGGCCTACCTCTTATTGCACAAGTTTTGACATGGTGACAAAAGCAGTGACTGTTAAGGCTGGTTATAAGTCAGAAGTACCAATCAACATAACATATTACAAAGATAGATAAGAAGGAAAAAAATCCACATCATTTATAAGGCTTTGTAATCCACTAAGCTATTCTTTACCAACATGTTTCAGTACATGTGAAATAATAAAGTTCACTTTAGAGTAAAAAGTACTTACACCCAACAGCCTTCTGGCTGGATCAGCAGCAGGTAAGAAACGAACCCAATAACTCAAAGTTCCAACAAGGTGCTTGTGCTGCCCGTCTTGGACACCTGAAATCATTTATGTAAGACATGTATATCAAATAAATAAATGTTTGTGATCCTCAAGTACACCATCAGGACAAAAAGAATGTTTGTCTTAGCAAGCTTATCCATCCAAAAGAAGTTTTACCTCCATGAACCATATTTGAGAATAAGAAATATGTAAACAGTTGAATTGAAACACCATGTAAATTTTAATTTATGAAAGCTCAACTATCCCGGCCACTGTATGCACAAGCAATCCACTTACTTTATGAGGAGGCTTTCTTTAGAATTGCCTTAAAACAAAATGACTGACTTTATGCCCTTCGTGCTATAAAAACCAAGGGTCAATGTACTGATTGATTGATATGTGGGGTTTAACGTCCCAAAACCACTCTATGATTATGAGAGATGCCGTAGTGGAGGGCTCCGGAAATTTAGACCACCTGGGGTTCTTTAACGTGCACCCAAATCTGAGCACACGGGCCTACAATATTTCCGCCTCCATCGGAAATGCAGCCGCCGCAGCCGGGATTCGAACCCGCGCCCTGCGGGTCAGCAGCCGAGTACCTTAGCCACTAGACAAGGGTCAATGTACTAAGGGTGAGAAAAAAGCGAAGTAAGAATGGCAGAAGGGATCTTGACACCTTCGTGCATATTTACATGCCTTTTAGATTATGACCGATAAGCAGTTTTCATTGGTCAGAAAAGATAAACTGAAAAGTTCACTTGCAACGCGGCCTAAATCTAGGGTCCCTAGACCATCATTATTTTCTTTCTTTTCTGAAGTCTCAGAAATGCTTTGAAATGAGAAATATCTCCCAGAAATTAAATATCAAAAATGAAACATCTAAATGAAATATCTCTTCCCAAAAAAATATAAATGAAATTTTTTTTTGAAGCTATAGTATAAATGGACATATGATGAATACTATATTTCCATTTCCCATCCACCTTCAAGTTATTTTATTCTAAAAAAGTAGGGCAGAGCCATTTCATGTGTATTGGGCAGACATGGCCAAGAGTGCACACACAACATTCCGTTCCTCTCGAAAATGAACATTTCTGATCAAAATTGAAAACATTTTTCACTACTGTAGCCTGTATAGTTAACTTAGTCAATTATTGTACAGAGTATGGGTAGAAATAAGTGTGCTGATCCAAAAAGTTCCGCTAGACAAAATCTCGATCTGCTAATGGTGACCCTCCATAAGAATATTGCGACTGATGTCAGGGAAGAGCGGTTAGCAGCCTTGCCACCGATCTTTTTCAAAAAAGCTTTAACTTCGCGCTTTGTTTATGAACTACACAGGCCAAGCACAATGATAAAACTTGGCTGAATTATTCACAGCTTCATGTTATATCTGCAGAATTTGATTTATCATCAAGCTCGAGGGGTGGTCCAGAGTCACATTATTAAGACATCTTTGATCTGTTAGTAATGCCAGTCACATGCACAGATAATGATTGGTACTAATTAGCACTGAAAAATTATGAGCACAATTATTGAGAGCTGCACTGCCTTTATGCATAGTATTTCAAAGATGCACAGACATGCGAAAGCTTACTTTTTTGGTCAGAAAACAACAGCAGAGGACAGTTGTCTAAACACCATCACCCTGAAGATCATGACCACCACAGAACATCTCTTTTCAGCATTTTCTATAACATTATGTTCTAGTGTATCAACTTGAGGTCTTTTAGAAGCAATGCTATAGCACACAACAGTAAACCAACGAAATTTTAAATAAAAATAGGGAATTGTGAATCTTCACTTGCCAACAAGTGCTGCCTGAGCATAATTGCACTTGAACGGATGTTGCAGTGCAGGGTCCAATTCAATATGGCAGGTGCCCAAGCTGTGTATGTCAGCACCATGCACAGCTTGTACTTGAATCTGTACAGAGTCCTAAGAAAAAAAGTACCATGCTGGATATGAAAGTAGCTGCAAGTCATATTTTGTTACTACTTCATAGTGACTCCATTCGTGCATACCATTAACGAAGTCGGTGAGCCAAAGCCACACAAGTGTCCACAAAGCATTTCAAAACATGCTGTAGCCTTCATCTACATACTGAAATGCTAATCATGTTTGAAATTGTACTCCCTTTAAGTACTTTCGTTTATCTTTCGAGCGCCGCTTTGGCGGTATGCACACTATGCACCACATTCGAAATGAAATTTTTTATTGCCTATCAAGTTTTTCTTCATTGTTTTTCCTTCTAAAGTAGCTATGCTCATGATCGTTCTTTTATATTATGTTGAAGTTGATTGCACAGCAGTCAATTTCAATCAGAGGCACTATCACACATAGCTGGGCAGCAAGCACAATTAATAACAAACTGGCAGGCAACACCAATCACAATGGGACTTTTGAACACATACCTTTCCTAGAGCTTTAGAATATTCGATGCACAAAAGTTGATCTCATGCCCCTCTTCAAATTTTTTCACAGTACTGTTGACCATCCAATCATCACAAATGGCTTTACAATTAAAATAATCAAAGAAGCTTGGAAGATACAAGGGCTTTATGTCACATCTTTTTCCTTTGCATTAATGTAGCAGTTTGTAATTTCTATGCTTTTATATAAACAGTTGCCTTCCCAATACATAGCTGTACGTACTATCTTCTTTATATTTATAGCCTGTAGTGATGACGAAGTGGCGACTGGGCTCGGGTGCATACTTGGTGAAAGGGAGAAGACGAAGCAGATAATAGAACAGTCTGCCCAGGAATGGGTACTGTGTCTGTGTCTAATTCTTCTACAAGCGTTACTCATATTGCCTCACAATGGCTAATCCATCCACTGCTATCTATGAGATCATGGTATTGTTTCCATGCTATGGTGTTTAGAAAAGTGTGTTTGATCAATGACAAAAAAAGAAAAAGAACACTTCATTCACATAACAAACTGCACAAGGTATGAACAAAATTGCTTTTGTTCATACTACGCTGCATGAAGAACTTTGGAGAAAATGCAGATACTATGACTATAAATCTGTGTTGCAGTCTTAGCGTATTTTTGCACTTATGAATAGGAAGAATAGGGCAGAAAAAACATGAAGACAAGGACAATGCCGGTATGACTGCTCATGCTACTATGTTCCTTGTCCTCGGCTTTACTTTCAGCCGACACCAGTTGATCAAAAACTTACTTTTCGAAATTGTAAAACAACCAAGTCTAGCCTCATAAAGCACCATTATACATATATGAAAAAAAAGCTAATATTCCAGGCTGCCGCTGTTTGCCAATGATTGGTTTCTGAAATTTTGGTGGATTAAGAATATTTAAGTAATTTTTTAAAAAATGCTATACTGCCTGTTTTCCTGGTCCTTCTTATCTTTTCCAATATGGATCAAGCACATCATCAAGAAGGCTTTTTGCTCATAAATTTATCACAGAAATGATGAATGAATTTTATAGTACACAAATACTTTATATTAGAAAAAAAGTCAAAGCATAAATTCAAATCTGAATTTTCCCTATAATTTTCAGGATTTGTGCTGAACACCTTTGAAGTTCATAGTTATCAACATTCCACCATAGCAAAAACAATTTTATGTGTGTTGCCTGATGCATACATACCTTATGAAGGTAATCTATAAAGGTTGAATCTACAGCAACAGCATAGCGAGCGGTGCAGTTGAACTCTGGGCTGAGGGTGGGTAAGAAATAAGCACAACCATTGTAGACAACAGTGACAGCATCCAGAGAATGGTGAAAGTTTAGAAAGAAGGTTACACTAGCTTCACTGCACAAGTTTCAAGTAGGAATAATGATATTGTTATAATACGATAATTTTGATGTGCCCTTTGCATTCACTCAAGAATCAAATAAATAATTACCTCGACACTGAGAGTCTACGAATGCATAAAATTTACTAAGTGTCAATTGCACTTCTGATCACAATTTAAGCACGGATCAAATTGATTTCTATACTGATCATACAAGATTCCTTTACTTTCAACTCCTCACCATTTTCCAGTAGCGACAGGCGTTGACTGTGGTTGAAAGTCAGCAAATGTCCACGTTGCAAACACAGGGGGAGGAGCACAGTTTTCAAGTGCATCTTGCCTGGTCACAAATGTTATCTAGCAATGAATGTAAAGATATGATAAAAATATATTTGCACTCTGAATGCAGAAACTATACATGATGTACATTGCAGGCAAAATATTTTACAATACTATATAGATACAGTAAATAGCATTTATTATATTCAGATAGGCTCAAGCTAAGTCATTCTATCATTCTATGAATTTTCAGTAGCACACCTGTATTCAAGAAAACAATGATTTGATTGATATGTGGGGTTTAACATCCCAAAACCACCATATGATTATGAGAGACGCCATAGTGGAGGGCTCCGGAAATTTGGACCACCTGGGGTTCTTTAACGTGCACCCAAATCTGAGCACACCAGTCTACAACATTTCCGCCTCCGTCGGAAATGCAGCCGCCACAGCCGGGATTCGATCCCGCAACCTGCGGGTCAGCAGCCGAAGAAAACAAAGTTGTCAGATATATTTCAGTTTGCTACCTTATTTTTCAACCTGTTCCTGCCATTTTTAATCTTACCATAAAATAAAGTGGAAACATGAAAACTTCAGTTCACAAAACATAACTATGGCACTTGGAACTTGATAGCAGTTTATCTACAAGCCAAAAGGAAAGAGGGAGAAGAAGACAGAATAAGAAATTTCAGAATTATCCAACACTTTTCGACACGCATAATCCTTCCAATAATAATCAATTTCATTTTTGAAAGACTCAATACTTAGTAATATCTCACGAATCAACATTATGAATTGTCACGTAATGAGTCTCTTTTTTAAATATTCAAACAGCTTGTATGAAAGAAAAGTACTAAAGGTACTAGAACAGCCATGGAATTATGATATAGTGATTCACAACTTCGAAAACAATGCTATTATTTTTAGTTTATGCAAGTGCAACTAAAATCCCCTAAAATAATACACTTACTCATAGGCATTCTTTGAATGGTGAATCTAAACTAACTACTACTGATAGGCATTATTTTGAGCCCACAAGCCTATTCAAAAGCTATACATAAAGTAAACTACACATAGCTTTAAGAAATAGAAAACAACACTAACCTTGTTGAGATGTATCTCCAGAAAGCTTTGCCCTTTTCTGACCAAACTAAGGCAGTGTTCATCATCCGCTTCATTTGGCTGGAAAGAATAGTAACCAAGAATGTATTACAAGTTACAGAGCTGTCGCACAGGAGCACTGAACAGTACTGTTATGTCATGTTCTACAGCTAAGTTTTTTTTGCTGTACACCTCACGAGACTTGTAAAAAACAACACCAAAAACAAATTAAGGTCCTAACCTTGTGAAAATAATAACACAAAGAGGTCAAACAGGTTCCAATAGTCGTCACCTACCGCACAAACTTCGGTCACTTGGACTTGCTTGGATGGAATGTGGGCCAAATGCTTTTCTAAAACCTGAATTCAGAGGACGAATAAACAATGTCCACCGAACAAATTAAAGTACAAGTTAAGCTGTTACAGAAATGCACCTAGTAAGCACGACAGAACAAAAAATTATAATAAAGATTTTCCTCATTTGCAAATTTGCTTCTCTGTGATGCACATTTGCCCTACTCATGGCGGCACTGGTGGTGCTTCAAATGGAGACGAGGTCCTAGTTGCATGTGTTGGGGCTTGACTTTTATCCATATATACCAAGACAGCCGAGTCTATGTTTTCCACGCCATAGCACAAGCAAACTGTGTTCGAATACATTGTTTTCAATCAGGCTAGCAGCCATTAGTAGAAAAAACTGTATAGCAGTAAAATTTGCACAAACAGTAAAGTTCAAGGTAAATTCAAAGCAAATAGTGATTTTGGTCTAATAATTTTGAATTGAATTAAATTAGCATATATCACATATTATAAACAAAATGGGCATATCTGGCGTGACCCAACTAATGTGCACAATACTTTTTAAAAAATTGAAAAAAGGCCTGCGCTAATGCTAATTTTCATGCTCAAAGAAAGCGGAAGCAACTTTGAATAGTAGCAGGATTCACATTTCCACAAAATGCAAGTGATAACCTGTAAAATATGTAACATTTTAAAATTTACTATACTTAGAGCCTATTATCCAGTATAACAAGCTCTAAACTTAAATAATGATGAATAGGTGTGAGGGTAGTATGCTCATGAACCTAGACGTGAAACTCCGCGACAACGCAAATTTCCCATAAATTAATGTTTTCATGGCGTTGCACTCCTTCACTGCAGTGAAACGAACTTAACAAGTAGTTACATGCAAATTAATATACACCTGTGCGTTCATTTCAAATACTCCAAAATTTGCATTAATAGAAACTCGAATCGAAGCGAATTCAAGTACTGGGATATTCAAAGCACTAGAACACTCGCAAAAGCTTAACAAAAATAGAAGGCAGCAGTTGTGACATTACAAAATGGAAGTTTGATAAACTCACCTCGCTTGTTTTGTTCTTAAAGAAATGTCCTATCTCTGAGCTATACAGCCGAAACAATTGTAGAACAATGGGAAACAGAACATTCATTTTATGAAAAAATAACAATTTTTTCAATGGTCAACCTTGACCAACAAAGGCCACAATTTGTGCATAAACATTTATAGTTTCTCCAAGAATGGTGCCAATATAATACAAGAGCATGCACATATTAAATAAAATAGTATCCATTACAAAATTGTGATGCTTTGATACTTGTGTGCATTCCTGAACTACTGTCACATATAATTGCACTAACAGAAATCTCACTGACCTATATTAATGTGAAAACTAGCATACAGTTAAGAACAAAAATGACTGTTGGCAACATACTTTTCATGAAAGCATGAAAGTAAAAAACAGTCACCTCAATCTTCTTAGCTTTCTCTGTCAGCAAACTTTGAAGCTTGCTAATACGAAGCCGTTCTTTCTCTATCATCATCTGCTGCTCTTCCTTCAACTTTGTCATTTCGTCATAGCCATTTTCCAAAAGAGTAGCTTGCACTTCTTTGTCAAGACACTGCTGCAGAAGCATCAAGAAACAATATTTTGGTCTAATGTTATGGCCCCTACATTTCCGTCATGTTTTTATTTTTCAATAGCATAACCTAATCCACGGTTCAAGGCACACTGAATAATGCAGTATATATTATATTACGCATTACTTTAACACTCTTTCACTGCCAATGTGCCAGAAAACTAGAGAGAAGCTCTCAAGAATGTTTAAAGAAGGGTGACCAAATGAAGACCGTTTTGTGACTGCTATGACCACAGTAAATCAAACGCTGCTTTAGGATATTCTGTTAAAATGCACTTCAGTTATGGCAACATATTTTCTAATAGAAAGGCTGAAATCAGCTCCCATATAGTGTTATATCCATTCTCTTAAACAAGCACTTCAAAGAAGCAATTTTAAGTCTTCTTCTTTTTTTTAAAGATTTATTATGCTGTTATCATAATGTGCCTCAGTTTTTAAAGTCATATTGATGAGTCCAAGTGCAGACCTTATTGTACTGGGTCCTATTCAGTCAATACACTTCACAAAGCCCTTATCAGCAATACATATATTCTTATTAAATCCCTTTTTGATTGATGATAAATTGATCGCGTGCATGACAAAACTTGTGAGCTAAAATAACCACATAAATTTATTTACATATGTAACTTTATGTGGGAACCTCTCCCTCCCCCCCCTTTTTTTTTTTATTGAAATGATGTTAGAAGAGGTTGGTGCTTTTATGGCAAACACCAGCTGCTCCATTGCACTTCTGTAAGGAGCCTTCAATAGTGCGCTGGTAATAAAAAAAATAGATATTATACCTTGTAGAGAATGAGTGTTTTTATTTTTAATGAGAAGTGACATATTAAAGTTTTTTTAATGTATCAGCTAATGAGATATCACCCAAATTATACATTTAAAATATTACAACACAGTTAACTATCACTGCAGAAGCATGAAGAAAATAGTTCACTAAACTGAATATTTACTAGAATAAGGGATAACATTGGGCACAATATGAATCAAGTCAAATGTGTGAAATGCAATTTATTTTGAAAAAAAATTTGTAATGATTTATTTGGACTGGTACCACTAAGGCGTGTGAACAGACAAAGCTGTTCAGAAAGTCTACATTTCTGTGCACTGCCTCTGGCATCTTGTTGCTTTGGCACGAGGTTTCGTACATTCTAATATATCCTACAGCCTCGGCTAGAGATACAGGATTTGAACCTGCCTAAACCATTACAACTTCTTTGTCACAATCTTTTTACTCTTGCAGATGAACACTGGCAAAAATTCCCAAATTTTATAGGTCTGCATCGGTACTGAAGTGCACGTCATTTGTTTTTGCCTCTCGCATGGCCACTTTGGCTATGCGGCGTTGCATGCACAAGTGATGTACCGCCGTCAATTAATGGGGGAATTAAGGGCAGCATGCATTGGTTATGCCAGTGCTTCAGAGCGCAAAATTTTATTGAATTCATTTAAAAAATGAGCCTGGGTCCACGGATCAAATTCGTTTAACTGAAATATTGACTATACAGAAGTTCACTTAAATGAAAGATTTTTGCATAGAATGCATAGGAAAACCACCGGGGATTTCCTTAAGGTTTGTTATTCTGAAATACTTGTTAAACCGAAATTTTTAAGAGTGAAAGTTCACTACATATGTATTACTGCCATATTTTAACAGCTGTTATAAGGTACACAGGTTCACACATATCTCGGTAGGATACATACATTGCCCACTCTTTGCAATTATGCCTTTTTAAAACTGCAAATTTCAACTAAATTGGCCCTCATTCGAGGTCTGAATAACAAAATACGGTCAGTAAGTATAAAGTTGAGTTTTATTAAGTGTGAGGCTATAAATTACAAAAATAGCCAGTTAATATTTTTCTGTAGGACAAAACTATATCTATATACATGAGAATTTTCTAATTGTGGCCCCATAGAAATGTGCCCATCATATCTGGGAGCCCATCCCACAACCGCATACTGAGCAGTGCAACACCATAGCTGCCCAGTCACAATTATTTATACAAATCTAATGCAATGTAAATGGTCGCATAAATGAAAACATTTATGTTAAAAAGCACAGCTATGATGCTCACTTTTCTACTCGCAGGAACGGAGGGACTAAGGCCATTTGTTTGCATCGCACCAAAGGCACTTGCTGAACTTTCGGGCAGGTTGACTTTGTCCATCGACAATGCCTTATTATGCGTCTCCTGAAAAGAGAAAACCACAGAAAAGAAATATTATATAAGAGATACAGGGTGTCAAAATAAAATGTGTAAGTTATAGCCTTAGTTTCCCCCCACCGAATAAAGTTTGGTTCCGTTTCATTTTGAAACAGGAAGAAAAAAAATCCAATCGCAAAGGTGTTTACTAATATACAAGAATTTTCAATTAAAGGAACAATAAACATAGCATTTAATTGTAGCTTTCTCATAAGTGAATTAAAATTCTCTTAGCAGGCTGAATGCTTTGAATAAAAGGAAAAAGCATGTTTTCAAAAGCGGTACATCATCAAGTGTAGTCTCCGATATCCAAGGCTGCTGTTACAATAAAACAAACTTCAGCGCAAAGAATGCCCTTTCTACGCTGACCTGTGTGCCTGGCACACCAAGGTCCATTTGCAATAATAAAACAAACCAGGTCCGGTTGCCCCACTTTTTGTATTCCGAAAAATTTCAACACATCTTTACTTTAAAATCTCTGCTGCGATACATGCTGATACTTTTCACAAAAATATGCATTAATGCTCATGTTACATGAACTCATGTAGTTAATATTGGCAACATTTCTCTTGAACCATTAACCGATTAAAAATACTTTGGTTCACTCTGGAACAAAATACTAATACAAGATAATGTGTTAAGTTTTTGTTCTGGTCGAAAAGTATACTTTTTTATTCTTTCTTTGTTTTCAGTTTTTATTCCGTTCTGACACACGAAGGATATGAACCTCATGATTTAAAATAGCCCTTCATTAGGCATTCTGTCTGTTTTCATTTAATATCTTGTCAGTATGCCTAGTGCAGCAATGCAGCCACTACTAAGAATACAAAATAAAGAATCAAAAAGTAAAAAGAAGCCAAAATTCTACACAATTAGTGAAACATGACATCACAGAAACTTGATAATCAATTGCACAAATAGGCATAATTTCCAGTGAAATGAACTACACTCACAAATTCACACACATGTTAATTTGTCAAAAAGAAAATGCTACTGCCGATAACTTTTTATTTTCAATATAAAGCCCACATAGACTTAAATTCTGCATCTCCATATGCATATAGTTTTGTCACACTGTTCTTAAGAACTAGACCGTTGAATAGTGCATATGTTTAAACTCACCTTCTGAAAGTCCTGAAAATCCTTCTGAACAGTTTCTAGCCGGGCTGTTATCTCAGCATGAGCCTTCTCCAGATTTCCATGTTCTTCTTGGAGACTTTGGTATAGCTCTGTAGTCAATTATCCAAATACAGTAAATCTTTCTGAGCACTTAATATAGAAGCATGTGTCAAAACTTCACCTTTTGACAAACAAAAAAATAAACCGACTTTTAGGCAAAATAAATATTAAGTTATGTGCACTCATGCACCAAATTTAATTTTGTATATTTACAGCACTCTAAGAGATGTTAGCTTCACATATGTTTGCACAAGTACTAAGTACAGTAGATTGCACACACCAAAATGAGCCATTTCACCTTTTACGGGAGTCACTTACCTATTCTTTCTGATAGCTCTTTTTCAAGAGCCACTTTTTCATCGTTGTCAGACTTGATAATTGCTTCCAGCTGAGTAATCTGCAACTTGAGAGCCCCAGCCTCTTCAAGCCACTTATTTTCATCCACATCACTTCCTTCAATGCTGAAAAATATAAACATCGCTGCATCCAACACTATTTATAATAAGCACACTGCACCATCTACAGAAAGAATATTATCACCATTATTTATTTATTTATTTATTTATTTATTTATTTATTTCATAATACTGTCAGCCCTCTCTTGAGGGCTCTTACATAGAGGGTACAACCAAATACAAACCAACCAATATACATCTATGTCAGGTAGTAACGCAATCAATTAATACATGTGTAACATTTTTCAAATAGGCAAACACTGCCTACATTTACAGCGATGGCCGGCTACACATTACAAGGCTTAAACACAGCTGGGAGAAAGAAAACAAAGAAACTCAAGCCAAGGAAACATGCAGGCTTATCATCTGGCAGCTCCATCGCTCAAATACACGTCCGAAAATTTTTCGAATTGGCAAAGATCACTTGCATTTACTACAATGCCTGGCAACGCATTCCAAAGCTCAATCACAGCTGGAAAGAAAAGAATAACGAAACACATTACTCCAACAAGAGTACAGTACTAAAATACAGTCGTGATTAACCCGACTGCTTTGTTTCCCTGGCATCTTTAAGTACAAATCTTTGTTAATTTTTAGTTGTCCTTGCAGTATCCTGAAAAAAGCTTTCAACCGGTTCTTTTGTCTTAGTGCCTAAAGTGATTTCAGTTCACAGGACTCCAACATCTGCGTGACAAAATCTAACCGGCGATAATTTGTGCATATGAAGCAGACAGCGCGGCGTTGAACTTTTTCTAATTTTGTTTTCAGGCTGTCTTGATGAGGACTCTACAGGACTGAGGCATATTCTAGTAGTGGTCACATGAAAACTGCAAACAGTGAGTAAAGATCATCATGGCTGCGCTGGTGGGTCCCTGAAATGAATTTAACTGTTGTGAAGCAATGATTAATTTTGCAGAAGAAGCCTTGTTAAAATTAACAATCAACAATAAGTGCTACACATAAACCTTGAAGGAAAGAAGAGTAAATTTTTTTAGACACAATATTAATTAGAACTGAAAGACAATTATGCCAAGAAAAGTATAGAGAATGTTATTAAAAATAATTGATGTAATTGTGAAGAAAAAAACTGTATTAAAATATAAGTTGCTGTGAGCGGAGACTGAACCTGTGACCTTTGAATAACGCGTCCAATGCTCTACCAATTGAGCTACCACGGGGACTATCTCCCTGTCCACTTTATGGTGTATGTGCATTTAAACGTGGAAGCGTCAGTCAGCACTGCCTGTTGTCGTTGAAGTGAGTTTGGGACCTTGCAATTCATAAATTATTTTAAAATATCACATCCTATGTGATCGAAGTGAAATGATTCATTTTCTCTCACTCTTGCCCAATCTGGCATGTGAATTGGCCACAGTGTCACTGAAGCGGTGACTAAATATAAAATGCTTACAATGAGCAGTTCAATGAATGCGACTATGTATGTTTTCCATACCACATGACCAGTAATCTGGCAACATGCAGGTTCAATTCTGAGATCAGCATGTAAATTACTCAAAAGTACAACCTACAGTATTACTCACAATATCTCACAAAAGAGTCTTGAAAAAATTGTTTTTTGATATTAATTGATTCATTTTAAAGCTTTGATTTCTCAAGTTCAATAGTAATCATATTTACTTAATTATGATATATTAAAGTGAACATTATCTGACTAAAAGCTGGTATGTATAAATAAAGAAGTACTTAAAATTTTTATTTTTTTACCTGTTTAGAAGCTGTTCATTAGCAGTTCTCAAGATTTCATTCTCCTGTTGAAGATCAGCAAGCCGCTGTTCAAGCTGATCAGAAAAAAAAAGCAGTTTCAAATGAACTCCCGCATGTCTTATTAATTTTAATTAAACTGGGTATCTTTCATGGTATGCATAAGCTTTTCAGGCTAAATCAACACCATGAATGAAAATGATATATACTAGCGATCTTTTACTATCTTGCAATCTTGAAGTAAAAACTGAAAAATTCTCAATAGTGCATGCATGCATGGACAACTGCAGGTAATCTTGTCATTTTCTTAAACATGCATTGCCCAAGAGCCCATTCAATCAACATGGAATCAGTAGTCTAATGTCCTGGGGGCATTATACAGACACTACCTTCATTTATGATAGAGCTATATTTTAAAAGCATTATATCACTGTCTATATATGAGAAACATCTGATTAATGAGAAAGAATGCATCTTGCCCCATTCCGACCTCCTATTATGAATAGAAAGCAAGTAAAAAAAAAAGTTCCTGATAGTATTAGGAGCCTGAGTAATAAGAGCCCAACTGCATTATTCGCTAGAAGGCATGAATCAAAATGCTTACCTCTGCAATTGTCTTTTGCACAGCCTCACAAGCATTCAATTTCTCTTCCAGCTGAAGACTTTTCGCTTGCTCTGTTCTCAGTTGGGATGCCAGTTGATCTACCTCACCCATCAAAATGTTGTTGTGAGCACTCACTCTCTCCATTTTCTAGGAGCAAAAACAATAATGCATACAACTTACTAGAAGAAGAATTCGGGTGTCTGCAGCGTCTGCTCAAACGTAAGATCTTTGCAGTATACTAATGGACCCCTGACACCAAAATTGAAATCTTTAGATTTTGTGTCGTTTGACTGTCTGGTAAACGTGGACACTTCTTGCCAATTGTATTAATGATGAACATTACCATTATGATATTTTAATTTGGTTTTAAAGGAAACATGAGTGCTAACCTGAGTTGGCAGCCCCTTGAGGCATCGTCAATAGTATGACGTAGATGGAGGCTCTGTATGATGTACCCCAAAGAAAGCGAGCATTGTCGAAGTCACACATGATTCATGGGGCCCACACTATACCATGACTGGCACCCGACACGAGCTACTCTTCCTCGCCCCTCTCGTTCTGTTGTCGGGCTGCTTTTAAAGTGGCATTGCTTATTTACGCCAGGAATGGTTTTCTTCTTCCTGAGGGGACATGCTCTTAACAGGCTTAAATCATATTGAAGCACCAACATCATTTCATTCTTTACCACGTATAGGGCCCTAACTAGAATACTGCACTGTCAACATCACGAAAGCTTCAGCTAATGTGGTCCTAAGCGCTCCTTGCTTGGGGCATTAGTTTCTTACGCTGTTAGGCAGAAGTGTGTGAATATTAGAAAATTCTGAATAATGAATCGAATAATGCGTATTAAAAATACCGAATATTTTTCTAATACTTTCTGAATAATCAGCACTGACAGAAAAACCCTAAAGGCATAATACGTTGGATGAGCAAGAAATCATTTTTCTTGTTTTAATGAGTGACTTACCAATATGCATGAAGTTCAAGTTTTTATGGGACTATCGCAGCTTTACTCATCACCAGATGAAACACTTTTTGCTTTTAGGTCCAGCGTCACCAGTACAAATGTGTCCTCAATGCACTACTACTACGATGAGACTCATTACGTTTATTCATGAAATATTATTTCACTTTATGTCTTACTGTTACTAACAACCTGATGACAAATACCACCTAGAATACTGAAATGACTACTGTATCATTATTCAAACAATTAAAAAATACCTCATAGGGTCTAGTTCCTACAGTATACGAGCTTACCTCAGTTTGAAAATAGTTGCCTTACCATTTGAAAACTATTTGAATAGCATTAGATTTATATCCATATTCGAATTGGTATTATCCCTATTTGATTCATAGTATTCGACTCGGTTCTACATTTCACTATTCACACTCCCTTAAATTTAGGCAGCCAATTCAAAGTGATGCTAGAACTGGTCACAATTAACGATGCTAGCATTAATAACATAATATGTTAGAGCATGTACCATTCAATTTTAGCCTTACCAGACACAAAGTTACAAGTTAGAGTAAAAAAGTGACAAGCAAAAGTCTGCAGTCAGGGGTTCTTTAAACTTTATGCGAATGCAGCAAATCAAAAGTGCAAAATCTATGAGGTTCTGCCAGAGCCTTACATATACACACAAATAAAAAGATGTCACAAAATCTTAAGCCAGTTTCAAGTCCCCGCTAGGAATCTCAAGAACAAGTAAGAACTTGAACAAGTACACCAGAACTCCTTAGGCCTAAAGTAAAAAGTGCACCAACAGAAATTTTTAAAAATAATAAAACAAAAACTCACACTCATGTTATATGTGCTGAAATTCAGAATCACATTAAACAGTGCCATTTTGCAGCAGGCGACACAAAGGCTGCGAAGGCATCGCTGCTGTGCTCTGAATAATTGATTGCAACTGAAACAAAATATGTGCATTAAAATATAGAAAAAAGTAAAAATAACATTAAATGCCAAATAATATCGTCAATGTAAATGTGCATAGAGATAAAAATAAGGACAGAAGGCATGGGCAGTAAAAGTAATAATTATTAAGGCTAAGATTATGAAAACTACCAAAAGTTTATGCAGAACTCTTTCATCCATAATCTTCTTTAGCTCAAACTGGTGGTAGCTGTGCCATGCACTAAGAGTCAAGTTCCATTCTCAACACAATTCTGTATAAATATTTCTGCATATATAAAAGAAATTGTGTTTTGATACAAGTTCAGGCAAGCCCCACAATAAAACTTGCTCTAGTTATCATCCTTATATCTTTAGGTATGGCCTTTAGCCTTCCAGTTGAAAAAAAAAGTGGTAGAATGATTTTCTGGCGGTTCTAGCCAAATGGCAGTATAATCTGGCTACCATTTACACAAAAAGCTTAATACCCTATAAAAAAAGTATGAGAAAATGTTTCTAACATTCTTAAAATGGTTTACTGCCATAGTAGAGGGAAACATTTGCCAAAAAATTTAAATGCCCATGAAGTTCTGTTCAGCATCATGCTTATCATTAGTATAATAGCGAGGTGGCTACTGTATCCATGAGCTTAACGTCATGTGCAAATTGGGAGTTGTATAATTGTAAATAGAAAGGGAATAGTAAAAAAGGAAGCTTTAACAGTGCAAATAATGCCTACAATAACATATGAGTGCTGATATCTTCAAGAGGTACAAATACCATGGCTGTCTACTTGAGCTACTGCTTGAGCATGAGTAAAGCAGCATAAAAGCATAGATCATAAAAAGAGCGTTTGCTTTTTAGCAATGACTAACAACTTCACTTTATTTGCTTACATGCACATATAGTTGATTGATTGATAAGTGGGGTTTAACGTCCCAAAACCACCATATGATTATGAGAGAGGCCGTAGTGGAGGGCTCCAGAAATTTCGACCACCTGGGGTTCTTTAACGTGCACCCAAATCTGAGCACACGGGCCTACAACATTTCCGCCTTCATCGGAAATGCAGCCGTCGCAGCCGGGATTCGATCCCGTGACCTGCGGGTCAGCAGCTGAGTATCTTGGCCACTAGACCACCGCGGCGGGGCACATGCACATATAGTATCACAACACAAATAAAGTGAAAAAGTAAAAACACAGAAGAATGCAAACTGAATATAGAATATATTTCAAGTAAAAAATAAATAATAGATTATCAGACTCTGCACAGGAAGTGTCATTCCTTTTCAAACATGGTGGTGATGGACAGTGTAGTTCAGCATTTGTCACCCATTGACAGGATCGGAGTGTCGATATTGCACTTTAGTTAGCTGCATCTATGAGCATGAAAATCAGACAAATTTAATAAAAATTCGGCAGATTCCACGTACCTCAGAATCAACGTTATGCGAAGCATGCAGAGGAAAGGTGACCGTGTTGCAACTTTTTTATTGAGCGACACGTAATGAAATGACGCTAAAATATATGTACAAGTGTTGTGCGCACAGACATATGTTCAAGAGTTGCAGATGTTCATACAACCAATTGTTTGCACTTGCGCAACGATGCCAACTGGAACATGCACATTAGCAACACCGGAAGCTGATATGGAACGCTTATGCTCCCGAAGATGCTCGCCCTGGACACTGCTACATAAATCAACTTCAGCGCATGGCACCTAACCAAAATTTACGTTAACCTGACGTGACAGCCGTATCAAAGAAGTGCATATGTAATGTTTAGAAAATTGGGTAGGTAGCACTGCAACCACTATTGAGGTTTCACGAAGATTAGCGTCTATTTTAGCAGTACTTCCGAGACCTGTCGTAGCTCTGTGTTAGAATGCTTGACTACCGCGCAGAATGCTTGGGTTCAATTCCTGCTGGGGACCCTGAAATTTATTATTTGCATTCGTCGGGGGGTCAACGCTGCCCATGTCAGGTTTTTCTTAACACTGCGATTTATTCTATGCTTTCGTTGGATCGACGCTACCGATGTCGGGTATTCCTTAACACTGACGCGTTAATATTGCCCCTGTGGGTTCTCGTCGTTCCTGGGTAGATACTAAGTGTCACATGTGGCACATACTTGCATACCAGGGGCGCATAACCGCCCGTAGGTATGTGCCACTGTCTGGTGGGAAGTGTTTGACAACGTATCCGACGGGATTATGACATTATTCATGTCTTCACCAGCCCGTTATATTCGTCAAACCATCTTACTTTTCCATGCTAATTTTGGTTCACTTGCCCCCCGCCCGCCCATTTGTAGCACAAAACCATGAGGACTTCAGAAAAATCCACATGGATTACACGACACGTGTATTGTCATTCACAGCGAATGAATTAAAAGTGAATGTCATTGCGATCTTGCATTCTGGGTCTACACGGCTGTGTGAAATGACGTTCTCAGTTGATGTCAATGTTTGCCGGCAGGCTGCTGTGATACCAAGAAGTTACAAATTGTGAATTTAATTTGCATAACATTAACTAGCTAGTTCAAATTATACTGATTGTGATAAAACAGCATCTATAGAAATAAGTCTTCATACATATCCAAAACAATACTAACTTAAAGCCACTCACAACTTGCAGTCGGCAATATTTGTAACCGTGACAGCATTCATAAATTTGTGACCATGATGAATGATCATCAGTGCAAACGAATGTTAATTGCTCTCCAGTGGCTTTGAATGAAGCATCAGAACCGACTGAAGCACCTCAAGCTTGCTATTGAAAAAAGATCACAGGCGATAAGAAATTTGGAGCTGCGCCTATGCACCGATTTGTTTCGTTTGGCTGCTCTTTGGGCTTCGACTTCATCAGCAATTAACAGAGTACTGTGGTGCTTCCCAAGAAAGAGAAATTTGTTTGAATACACTCTCCCTAAACTGGTGTCCAACGCGCGAGTGCGTATTCAGCTACTAGCGGATGTACACGTACATGCTGCACCAAAACAACAGCGAGCATGTATAAACATGGCTGACAGGAGGCGCTTCAGCTTCAAGTTAGAGCCTGGGAGAGAGAATATATATAGCTGCATAAATTGTTTCTATTATGATGTTGCCTGCTTAAAAGTTACCAAAAAGTTAACAACACCCTAATAAACATCTCAACATCGTTTGCACTTGCTTTAGAATGTCGATTTTGTAATTTCTTGTGAAGTGCCTGTTGACGAGAGTACAAATGTCATGCTTCCATAAGTTCAGTGAACACATTCGGCGGGTGAATGTCATTAGGTGTGAATGTCACTCACACTGCCCATGTGGCAGCAGCAAAAATGACATTATTGCCTAATGTCATTCACAGTGAATGACATTACAGGTGCTTTAGTTTAGGTCATCTTAGTATCTGTAACACATATATAAAATGCAACTTGTAGGAAGTACATACACTTGAGTTATGATGCATACTGTTACGTCAAACTTCCAGCTATATAGAAAAATGCTTGAGCAGCCCAATAATGTCAAAGGAATCCAAATAAAAAAAACCATTGCATGAAATGCTACTTCATCTAAAACAAGTTACATTAGCTCCCATGAGGCTCTGCCAGAGGTTCAGATCAGCATATTTGAAGGAGGCAACCCTGCTACATAACAAGCAAATGATAATTCTTTGGCATAATCATTTATGCCAATGTTCACAATAAAGGAAAGCTGCAAAGGCTGGCCACAAACAGAAACAGTAATTGTGAATGCGGTTGAAGTGCCCATGCAAGTTGGCCAATAACATTTCCCTGGAGTCGCAAGTACCACCTTCACACATGATGTAGCTGATAATACTTTTGTGCAACTTTTTTTGCAAACAAATTGAAGATACTGAAATTTTCAAAATCTAAGAGAAACACATAAGGTACGGCGACTACGATCTGCCCAGCCACAGAAAGTGTCACTTCATTAATCGCTTAAGAGTGTATAAAGCAATAATTTCAATCATGTAAATAATTTTTAGATAATTAAAGTATGAGTGTGAATGGAATCGAATATTTTTCTAATAATTTTTGAATATTCTTAGAATATTTTTCAAATACTTTGAAGTGAAATTGTAGGAAAAAAAAGTTAGAGAGGATTCCTAAGCATATTCTTATGAGATAGCAACCTTAAAGTGTTTCTATGATGATAATACACTCACAGAGTGGTGTTTCATACTTGTCTTATCAAGAAAAAGGCAATGCAGAAGCTGAATCCTACTTATGTACATGATTTGATGCAACCAAAAAGTTACTGACAACACTTTACGGGTCAAAAGCGAAAATACTATTTTCTCAGCCTCTTCTCCTCTTTCAACTTAAATGAAAGCCCACCTGATGTGGTGGACAAGGTGTGCTTTCGAGTCCGGAGCTCCAAATCGGCCTTCTAGACATCAATATAGAAGAGCTTCTGAAATTTCGAATGCCAAAAATTTTCAGCCTCCAATATTTGAGACTTTCTGCCCAAATTTCAAGTCTAAAACAGCATTGAGTCAACCCCTACCTTTGTCTCATCCATCATCTCTATGTTGAAACCTGTATTTTTTTTAGTCAATACATTTGCGTCAATAACAGAGACTTTGATGGTAACTTTGCCACAATACGATATGTGATGAGGTGGAGCATATTAAAAATCTGAAGGGGCCACTGTCAATTAGTTGTTCACTGTATTTGTTTTCGGGAAGTTTGAATAGTTCGAATAGTAATACTCCAGTGCAAATCGAATTGAATAAGAAATACTACTGAAAAAATATTCAAAATTATAAGTATTCACTGACCCCTAAATTAAGGGCTTATATTTAAAACTGGTTAGGCAGACAGTTCAGCCAGAAAACACTTACCTTGTTAAGAGCTTCAAGCTCAGATTTGAAGGTCGATTCTCTGAGAGCATAGTGTTCTGCATCTCGCCGTAAACTCAAGATATCCACATTTCCCTGGATGTAGCGAACTTGGCCCTTATTCACCTAAGTGTACATTTTGAAAACGCTACTCATGAACAAAGCAGAAAACTGTGAACTAGATACCTGAAGCCAAAAATAACGAGTCTTAAAGACAACTTTAACGAGAACTAACAGACAATCAGACCAATGAAAGTATAGGGAATGCTATTTACAGCAATTGTGATATAAATGTGAAATTTCCCTTATTTTGTTGAAGTTTCATTACTAATTGGCCTATCATGTATAAAAGTAATTATAGATGCTATGCATGGGTAAGTATTTGAGCACTTCAAATATTCAAAGGAATATTACAGCACTCAAATATACTTTGACATAAATTGAAGTTTTTTGAAAGATCGAAGTATTCAAAACAAATGAATACAGGGCTACCACATCTACAGGGCTGTCCACATCTAAGGTTAATACCTTATTAGTATTCAAGGCCTCATAGAAGCTTATGCTTCACAGAGAATTCTGGAAATCATTATTGTGTTTATCGACACTATGACTGGACATCATAGAGTGGAGATTTTTCTATGAAGAAGCACAAGTGTTTTAGTTTTAACAACTAGAATACCAATAATGTGTTCACCTTAGATGTCAACCATGTACATTTGACTCCATGTAATACACTGAAAAGGTGATTTCATTGCACGTGGGTCTGCCATGAAAGCACATAGCCAGAGGGCAATCGCCCTGTATCAAAGGAAGATTTCAAGGTTAAGGCACATAATACCTGCACCTCGATAACTTTTTTTTTTTTCATTTTAAAAGCATGTCATATGGTCTTATAAGTGCTAAGTATAGCAAATTTTAAAACTTAATGTACTTTACCAATTATAACTTTCACCCTACTATTATTCAAAACTTGCCACTACTCAAAGCTGCTTCCACTTAACTTTAAACCCAATAAAGTGACATTCACACCAACCTAAAGCTAATTCTCAAAAGCATGAGCAAGTTAGTTTGGTCAGAGTAAAAATGATAATATTTCTTTATATTGTGTACTATATAAAATTCAAACTATTTAATTTTAAATTATTCAACCAAGCCATTACTCGCTTTTAATTAGAATTCAGTATTTACCCTTTCTTAGACAAAACCAATTGCATCACTTGCAGAAATCACTTTATAGAATTGGAAAAATTGCAGCTACACAGAGAAAAAGCATACAAGTTCATCACGCCCTAAGCTGGTGCATTTTAAATTTTGTTACGTTCTATGAAAATATTAAATCTTCTCTACTTTATTTCTCTAAATCTAAATAAATGACCCTTCAAATAACAATAAAACCAGTTTAGTTGCATTCCAGTCACTTGCCTGCTCCTTCATCTCAGATAATTCTGTCTGAAGTTCCACTTCCCTAAAGCGTGCCTGCTCAGCCACTTCAGCCAACTGTAAGCGCTGAGATTCCACAACTGCTTCACTGCATCAGCCAGGAAAATCACAGGCCATGGTGCAGGTACAAAAAAAAAAAACAGCAGTAAGAAATACTTATTATCCCTATACTCTCTTTTTCCTACAATCCATCTTAAAAGTAGCTTGAGCTGTTATCACTAGCGGATACTTGCAGGAATTTTAATATAATGCAGAAACTGAGACAAAGTGAGCTTGATATCATGATGATCAACAAGGATCAAATTGAGTAATTAAATAAAGCTAAGTTTGGCTATTTTAAAAACAAACCAATATTGTCACAAAGTTTGCACTTACAGTTTCTCAATTTCTTCTTTTGCTTCCCTGACAAGGCTGACAACATATGGGGGCGCATGGACTAAATCAGAAGCTCCCATTTTCCTGAAAAGTTTTCAAAAAGTGTTGTAGCCGCTATAAGCACTATACGGCAGGGAAGTTCCTACTGATGGTCTAAGCATGCAATTTCGGCAGATACTTAAGGACAGGTATCAATTATCTGGTGAGCCACACTTTGAAATTTTCAATCTATAAGTCTCTTAAGTTCTGAAACACATAATTATTTTATTTTTTCAACAGTAGCTTGAATATTTCATTACCCATATATGTACTTGAATCAACATAATCAGATTTTTACTTACTTCGGCAAAGATGCAGCTGTAAATGAAGATTCATTTCCAAATAGACGAGGCTTCTGAATGGGACGGCGTAAACCCTGAAGGAAGGGAAAAAAGAACAAAATTGCACAATGAGAGCTAAGGCAGTTGTAAATCTACCACATTGGCCTAAAGCATGCAAATTGAATGAAAATAAATGCATGTGCAAGTTAGCGTATTATGTTGTTTTTCTGACAATGATTAGGCATTCAGCAAAGAAAAAGAGATCCAAATGTACATTGATGCCTTCAATGATGGCAGTAATGTATGTCATAATCTGGTGGCGTATTCTCCCACATTTTCTTTTCGCGCGTTGTCTCGTTTATCAAGCGTAATCTTGCAGTAAGAGTGGTGATTTTAGAATTGTGAAATTGTGCTTTACTAAAACACGAAAAATAGTTGTTCTCTTTAGTGTAATTTTAAACAGAAGCTAAGCTAAAGTAGTAACTTTGCTCTGAACTGTATAATGCCCTGTTTATTGTACCTGCAAAATGCTGATATGCCATATATGCTACAATAAAAAATGTGCATATATAAGCAAACTTCGAAAGAAAAAGTAATTACTTATTTTGTAATTAAAGACGTGCATACAACTTTCAAGTGCCTACATCCATTTGCAATCATATGTATGCTAGTAGTACATAAATTCATTATCACTAGATAAAGTAAAGACAAATGTTTAGCCATACTTGTTGTCACTCTTTTGATATATAGCCAAACACATAGCTAATGCAATTAAGAATCAAGGCTTAGCATCTATCATGACAGAAGAATACCTTAGTTGTCCCATATACTATTGCACACAGGTTGAAAGTGTTTCACTCTTCTATATTGCATAAATAACAAGATGTAATTAAAGATGCCAATGACTCACAGAGTTTACCCGAGGCTGCACCTTAGAATAAGTGCTTTGAAATTGGGTAGCTGTAGAAATAAGCTGCCTGCTGACTTGGAGCTGAAAACAAAAAAGTGAGACATTATAAAATGAAGACTCACCTACGCTTCTGTCACCACAAACACAGTGAATCAAGTTTTTTACTACTTCATTTAAATTAAATATATTGTAACGCGGACTGAAAGAGCACACAATAATCTACGCACACAATAATCCAGCGGCGGCCGGTGGTAGACTTGGAGAAAGGGCTCAGTAAATCTATGCCGACTTTTTCGAATGCTGATGTTGGTGGCTTAACTGGCTGCAGTGGGCCGGCCAATGGTGTGGTAGATTGTTTGTGGCGTTGGCAGACATCACAACTTGTGACGTAGTGCTTGGTGGTCTTCCATCTCCGACTGTGGATGCTGATGATGATGATTTCGACAACTACCTGGCCGCAATCTCATACAACTTCCCAAATTTGGACGCCTTCCGTCACGAGCAACAGCGTGACCCTTCGCTAAAACCAATGATTGATGTGGCTCGTAGCTCTAAAAGCGGCACGCCATTCGTGATTCATGACGCCCTACTATACCGCAAGAATTACTCCAGCCATGGTTCCACACTACTCCTCGTCGTGCCAGAATGCCTGCATCTTGCGGTATTCCAAGCCATGCACGGTGAAATCAAGTCTGGGCACCTTGGATTTGCCCGAACGCTTCACCGTATCCGACAACGTTTTTACTGGCCTCGGCTCTGGAAGACCACCAAGCACTACTTCGCAAGTTGTGATGTCTGCCAACGCCACAAACAACTTACCACACCATTGGCCGGCCCACTGCAGCCGGTTAAGCCACCGACATCACCATTCGAAAAAGTCGGCATAGATTTACTGGGCCCTTTCCCCAAGTCTACCACCGGCCGCCGCTGGATTATTGTGTGCGTAGATTACCTGATGCGGTATAGTGAAACGATGGTGGTTGCTTCAGCCACATCATCTGATGTGTCATGGTTTCTTCTACACTCGATCATACTCCATCACAGGGCGCCTCGTGTGGTGATAAGTGATCGCGGCTGGCAGTTTACCGCTGACGTTGTCGAAGAGTTGCTACGGCTTTGTGGGTGTCAGTGTCGCCATTCCATGCCATACCACCCTCGAACCAACGGCCTCACTGAGCGCACCAATCGTACCATCATCAACATGCTTTCAATGTACGTCGCAGCGGATCACAAGAACTGGGATGCCGTATTACCTTTTGTTACATACGCCTTTAATACCGCGAAACACGAAGTCACGGATTATACGCCTTTCTTTCTTTTCTATGCTCGTCATCCCCAAAGTTTCCTTGACAGCATACTTCCTTTTTCGACGAACGAAAATGCCAGTGTCGCGCAGAGTTTGTGTCGTGCCGAAGAAACTCGTCGACTTGCTCGGCTCCGAACTCTTTCCGCCCACGCTCGCGCGAAAGACCGTTACGATGCAAAACACCCGCCCGTGACTTTCGCTACAGGTGATTTGGTCTGGCTTTGGACGCCTGTTCGAAAGAAAGGACTTTGCCAGAAGTTTGTTTCTAAGTACTCAGGACCATTCGTCATTACTCAGTGCCTAAGTGACATCACTTACGTTGTTGCGAAAGTTACAGCTCAGAGCCGGCGTTCGCGCAAGACGCAAATTGTGCACATTGCCCGATTAAAGCCCTACAACAACCGATCGCTTCTGCTCGCTCGGTGAGCTTCGTCTGGCCCGGAGGAAAACATAACGCGGACTGAAAGAGCAAGGAAGAAGAAGAGATCGGACGCTCTCGAGCGATGGTGATTCGGCAGTGACAATAGAGCGCTGACATTTTTCGGTGTAAATAAACCCATCACATCCGTAACAATATTAATTAAGCTAGATATTATAAAGCATATCTCATCTTTTAATCAGATCTTTTATTACAGAATTATACTTCGCATGTTGGTAATTACTAGTACTGTCCACACATAAAATTAGCAGTAAGCCTTCAAGTTTTAGTAAACGCAAATTACTGAATATATCCCTAAAATATGAAGGCATTTTGAGCCAACATACATTTTTCTGAATTATCTTCTAGAAGATTAGTAAGAGTCGCAAAGAAGCTCATTGCTGGCATAGTTACTTCTATAAATTTTTTTTTAAATATTTCCCGGCCACAATTGATTAGCCCTATCAAAGCACATTCATTATTAACAAACTTCTAAATCTATTAATGTGCTCGGAAACAAAATTTTCTGCCACACATAAACAGATAAGCAAACATCTTCGGAATGAAAGCATTGTTACACAGTAAACAATAAAAATTTGCATTTACATTGGTTACAGTCCGTATGCATAGTTTGTTTTTTATCTTTTTTTGTTTCATCTGCATAACTGTACAAAGCCAACCATATGCAGACAAACAGTCGACTCCTACTACATAATTTTAGTTCAGTAGAAAGTCTTGGCAAGAAACCATATGGTAAGAAAACACATACAATTTGAATGTGATGACATGCCATATTGATGAATTTCTCGTTCACCAGTGCAATTTCATGCGAGCAGCAGTTACCAGAAGCCTAAAAGTACAAGGAATTTCACAGACAGTGCTAGACAAAAACTATTAAGAACGTTCTGAAATGACTTGAATGATTTCTAGTCATCCTGCTATATCATGAAACATTAAATAAACCTTTATGACAATAGGTTTTAAGACAAATCCACTTCAAGTGTATATTGAATATACTTGCCTTCCACCATGAGCACTTTCTCTATCCTATATGATTTACTAGTTTAATATATCTCGAAATTCTCCGTAAAAATTGAAGCCAGTTCATTTAGATAACTGTTTTAGGCAAAATATAATTCACAAATAGCATAAATATTACCACCCAAGAAGTGGGAAAAAAATTATTGAAACAACATTATAATTATGATAGGCACATCCTGTCCCCATCCTGTAAATACATCTTTATATGCAGCACAAAGACCTTATGCCACTCTCTATGTAAATATGTGTAGCAAGTGCTCATGTACAAACATTCCTTGTTGCATACACATGCCTCGAAAAAACAGAGTGACAGACTAATTGAATTACATTATTGTGTGGCACAAGACGGGCGCACAAAACAAGTCTGTCTCCTCTGTCTTACAAGCCCTGTTTGCTCTACACATTCTGTAATGCATCTTAAAGTTTCAATCTAATAGTAATTAGCCATCTCCCTTTGGTACCATCGTGCGCTTAAAGTTATGCAGGAGGGGAGATGACCAGAAGGCAAGAAGATACACAAGTTCAGCAGTTCGCATCGTCACCTTTAGCACTTTTTAAATTTTTCTTTGAACACGCAGCTTACATTCAGAGTGATCCCAAGTGAGAGCATCCTGGCGTCCCACGGTGGTGGCCGCGGTAACTGTGCAGCTCATGATGCTCAAATTAACCAATTGCTGTGGACTTTGGGTTTGTGGCTCGGTCATTTGGGCTTATGGCATCTTTTGTCAAGAGAAAAGTGAGCGATTTCTAGCCGACTTTGAAAATTAACAGCATATTTCAGGCTGTGTGCTGAGCTATAATGTTTCACATATTCTCAGGAGCCTTGATTGCTGGTTGGCAGAAATTTCTGACCATGCTGAAAAAACGTTGCAGGACTCTTTTAAGATGTCTCACTTATCCTTTATGAACATAGATATTTTAGGCATTCACTAGCATTTTCTTGTGTTTCACAGGTGTAATTATGTACCGCTAAAAACCATGCTCACCTTGCCCTTTAGTTGCATGTTTTGTTTCTCAAGAACCCTAACTTTGTTGTCCAAGTCTTCAACTTTCTGCTCCATTTCTACCATCTGACGTCGGGGCCCTGTTGAAACAGCAGAAAAGGAAAATTTTCAAGTTATCATACTAAATGTCACTTAGTTCATTGATATGGACAATTGTGCATACTCTCTAAGCTTAATTCATAATGTTTGACTGTTTCCCATAAAGCTATTTATGTGGAAAAACTACATGAAAAGAATAAACTGAAGTGGTTGCACAGTAGCAGGATAAGCTCTTAGTGGACTAAGCTTTTCATATCTCAAGCTTTTCTATGAGCTAAAGGGAGTGGAAGCATGAACAACATCTTTCGTGTCACTGTACAAGCTACATAAACAGTAACATGCCCCTCTGAGGGGGCTATTCACGCCCTTTTTGGTATCTTCTTTGAAGCCCAGGAGAGTTAGGAATACCCTTCTCTTCATAGTCCAACTTTACGAAGTGTGAAACAAAGACTGCAATGTACAAACATTTTAAATGGCAAATCCCACTTGGTGTCAAAATAAAAGATCAATGCTTGAGAATGACTAAAATGTCAATATTATCAATGGCAGGGCTCTACTAATCGAGATATTAAGGTAAACTTAAGACACTACATGCATCACAAATAGGACATTTTCAAATGGTCTCAATGATGTCAAGGGGCCTGAGTACAATTATAATAATCAAACCAGACACGATAAAGAAAGAACCTCCCTTGAATTACAAAACATAATGAAATGCTGCCTGCCTATTTCTGTTTGATTCATGAAAAAAAGAACTGCTTGGAGTTGCTATAGAGAATGACGCAGTAAATACGGGCAACACTGGGCCTGGCAACTACGCCAGGAGGCCCATTTTCAGGCAGGTGATTTCAAGTGCGTTAACGCCGTGCAGACCGCTAAAACATGATTTTATGACAAAATAAGCATTTTGTTGACACGAAAGTAGCCCCACACAATTTCTATATAGCTATTTCAGCAATCAATGTTCACTTTATGTTTGCTTAGGGTACCTTTAAGTCATGCATAGTGTGGCCTAAAAACATTGAGCAAAGGTTATACATGACTTTCTGGCATGTCAGCAATATTGCACTCTCAGTCCTTTGCCTTAAAGAAAGCACAGCCACCTATTAGAGACAGCTGCTCAAGATACCTAAAGCAGTGCAATTACAAAGCACAGATGCAAAAAAAAAACTATTTATTTGCCACAATTTTATTTAGTTTCTGATATCACAGTTGACACACCCGTGAATTTATGAGTGCCAGTACAGATGCTCCAAGTGCAATAAATATGAAAGTATAATGACTGCTTTTTACCACAGAGCTTCCAGATCAGAGTAGTGTGATCTAAAAACTTTAAAATACACCAGGCCTGTAGCCAAGGGAAAGCCCTAGCCCCCCCCACCCCCCATCAAAAAAAAATTCAGATTAAGCAGGACGTTTTGTCAAGAATAAATAGTGAAAATAGGAGCTTTTCAAAGCCTTGAACAAGTGCTCCCCTGCCCCCAATTCCCTCCCAAAAATTTCCTGGCTACAGGCCTGAAGCACATATAAACCTTCAAATATAGGTAAGTGAAGTGAAAAACCATGATGTGAGCACAAGTTCGTAAGCTACAATTTCCTATAAAAGAATTCTAGTGATGGTGACAGTGCCATTCCTTTCACGAATTAGCAACAAAAATTGGTAATAGATGGCACTCTACTGATTATACTGTTTCGTCACTGCTCGCAAAAGTATTGAAATTCTGGATCTATTTAATTGCGTACACACGTGGAAATCTATTTACATGTTCCCTTTTATTTCAATAATTTTATGGCTCTTTGTTACTCATTTTGCTGCATTTTTCAATCATTTTACACAAAAATATGTGCTTCTCATAAAAGACCAAAATAAAAATATCTGCAATTCACATATCATTTAGCTGTGTAGTCACTAAAGATAATTTACAATTAAACTGTGAGCTGCATTAATAAAGAAGAGGCAACAAAAGCGACATGGTAGTCTGAAAATGAAGTGAAGTGAGACCACAAACAGAGGTACCTTTATTTCACATCAATGCCAAGTAATAATATATATATATATATATATATATATATATATATATTATAAATAAACACAGCTGCAGTCTCATCTTATCCTACTAGCAATGAAGTACTGATTTCTTTACAAGCATGCAAATTGACCTTTGGAAATTAAATCATACACATTTGGGTGGACTCAATTGGAATCAAGACCGTCAATGTAAACCAAGCAAAATAGCATTAAAAGATGAACGACGTCATATTCAAGGATATGCGCCATATATGTAATATGCCGTAAAGCCAACTTACCCAGCTCACTTGCTGTGGCACCCTGCTTGATCTTTTCGTTAATAACTCTTGACAGCCGAGTAGCCAACCTACGGAATTCAAAATAAGTTGCAATGAAGTAAAGACGATGAAAAGAAAAAGGGGAATAAAGTTGCTCAAACAAACAATTTTCGAGAAAACGATTGATTCGAAGATATTCTCGCATTCATATAGAAGTGCACGTTCGCAGAACAAACGCCCTCACTTTTTTGCCTTTTCCTCCTGCTCTCGGGCATGCTTCTTGAGGTGAACGTTCTCATCTCGCAGTTGCAGGTAGTCATATTCCAATGAGCGCCGACCGAAAGCATCTCCATCCAGTCGCGCGGACCCTGCAGGCGGTGAGAAACGCTATTCCTGACCGAGCAGACAATGAGTTCATTGATCCGAGTGACCTCATGATTTTTCAAACAGCATATTTATCTGGCACACGCAACCGCTGTGGCGAATTGATGATGATTGAGCGATGATAGATTGAGCGAGATAGATTCCCAAGAGGACTAAAAGCGTTTATCGCTAGGCGCTCGATATAGTGACCGGTGTAACATCGCTGCTACCTGCGTCAGTGCTTCCTATTTCTGTAGAGCTAACAGGAGAGAACAAGAGGCGCAATAGCCGTAGACGGACGTCGTCATGCCATACGTACCCATCAGTCGATGATGCACCGTAAGCTTTTACCGTCAAACTCGTAGGTCTCATCCAGATGATGCACAGCAGCACACTGAAAGATCAAACGCGATTCGGTGCATATCGAATGCAATAACATGGTTCAGCTGCAAAGCGACAAAATTATTTAAGTGGACGCGGGAGCAGCAGACGACCGCGCACCGCGAAAGTAATCAGCGCGCCGATTCAAACGAGATACTTCCTTCTCTTGTTCCGCGAAGTTACACCAGCCGAGTTACATGCATTTCATTGAAAATTATGACTATCATGCGCAGCCAAAAAAAGCGATACTCAGGACACTGTCGTTAGGAAAGCTGCTCACATCAAGGCTGCACCGCGTCGACTTTCAAGATTTTGTTTACAGAAATATGCAGTTATCGCCTAGCATCGTCTATCTAGACGGATTGGATTGACTTTTAAAACCTGATTTTCTATTCAAATAAAAAAATTAATTACAAGTAACAAAATTTAATTATTGGCAAATACTAATTATTCACATAATGTTGTTGTTTTATGTTTTTATATTGATATTTATAGTCGGCAAGTAGCACATTGCTAGTGCTGGTAGCACGTAGGGGTTCAATCATGGAGGAAAAAAAGGTAAGAGAGGGCATGCCCAGCCGGCGTAGGGTGTAAAAAATGTGGCGAAAATTACGTCACAGCGGCCATACTCACTGGGCACAATGGCGGTGTTTTGTTATTATTGATGTAGTGCGTTGCGGCACCATTCAGGTGCTCCAGCAGCGGTGTGCGCGTTTTCATGGGCCTCGCACCAAACCATGGCGTGACACCAAAACAAAGTCCGTGCAATTTTCAAATTTAGTGCCACAGTATTCTCCGTGAAGTCTCAGTGCACGTAAAGGTATTGGCAACCATTATTTTTATGACATGCGCAATCAAGGTCTAATTTTACAAGCAAGACATTTATTTTCACGAAAGCGGAAAACAACATAAAAAATAAACACGACATATGCATTAAGATCGGAGAGAACTGCAAGTTATACGCGACTCAGCTAAAGCAAGCGAATAAGGCAAGTAAAAAGAACAGTAAATATATGATGATACATTAGGCATACAAGCACACATATGACATTGAGATTCGATTGGCAAACATATATAGATACAGTCACAAACCAGTTCACAAAAAATTGCTTTCTGCATATGTGAAGCACAACCAGACAGTGACATCACAGTTGTTAATGGGAGATTTGTAACAATGTAAACAAGAACAAGACAATCTAAACTTCAAGAACTTCATTTTCTCTCTCTCTCTTTTGATTGGACGCATTTTCTCCAGCAACGAGAAAATGCGGTCTGGTCAGTGTAAATAACCCAGTCAAAAATAGTTAATGGGTCCAACTGGATGTTCCAGTTAGGAGCAATGGGTGGCAAAGGGGGCTAAGTGGGGTTCAAATGGTGTCTAACTGGTGCCCAATTGGAAGTGCATGCTGCAATGGGACTGTCCAATTGGACTTCCCATGTAGTGGCTTCTAACATTTTAACCAACTCTGCATATTTGAAGTTCTAACAGGATGACCTGCTGTCATGATAGGTGGTTCCAGTTGGTTGCAATGGGACTCAAATGGACGTCAATGGGACCCAAGCTGCAATGGGAGAGTCCAATAGGACACCCCAATTGCAGTACATGCATAACTTTGAAGTTTATTTTTTACAATTCTCTACCTGAGCAGTATTGAAAGTCATAAATGGAAATCTACGGTGATGCATCCAACCCTCCATATAAAGCAATTCATTTATGTGTGTTACCCAAACAGAATTCGAGCTAGTGCTTCAGCTTGGAATCCCTGAGCTCGGTCACTTACTTAAACCTTGGATTAAATTAAGCTTGTTTACAACACTTGCCTGGTTTACAAACAACCACTGTATCAGGGCATCTGATTAAGCTTTCCATATATGCATCATGAAAATGCAGCAGTTAAAGTACTAGTACACATTGGAACCGCACCTTCTACTGTTTGCAGCATCACAATGTACCAACGATGTCTTATTCCCAAACTAGGGAATATGGCTAACTACCAGTGAGCACCTGATGTCACGTGTTTATGGGCTACCTGTCACTGCATATAATGCTGCTGCAGGATATGACTGAATTTTTTAATATTCATACGATAGAAAAGGTTATGCAACTAAGAGAAAACAATTAGATGTTCTCACTAACAAGATATCCGAAAGAAGGTATGAAAGGCAACAATAACATTGAAAAAAAAAGAATTTTATTTCAAGGCAAACAGGATTTAAATAGCACAGAACATATTTTGGTGTAAAAAAATTTCTTGGCCAGTGCTGCAACACAAGGCGTACAAGATACTTCAAATATTACAAATACTTATAACAGTAAATTGAATCACAATAAAAGGAATTTTAGTTCCAAAGGAGGAAAAAGGCATTGCCATACAACTGGCATTTCAGTAAAGCACTGAGAAACAGGTTTCATACAGGTTAACAGTTTACACGTGAACAGCATGTCTTTACTTATTTAAGGATGCTTAAAGGTCAACTCCGGTGGTTTTTCGAGGTCAACGAATCTCAATCAAATTCGCTGGGTACACTCTTACGCACATTCCTGTCATTTATGCCAATTACAGGCTTGAGAGATGCGCAGATTATTTGCAAATGAATTTTAAAGATTGCCTCGAAAAACTCGCCTCGCTTGCCAGAATTATTGGCAACACTGTCAGTGCGATGTCAAGTTTGTCATGTCAACGAAAGTGACGCAGGCGATGGCATCGCTACTTTGGCCCCTACATTGTTTATTGTGCTGGCCCCAAGACGACAGCGGTGGTGTTTGGCACGACCATAGCACGGGAGAGCTTTCTTCCTTCCTCTGTGGTGTTTTGCCGGTGCTTCGCTGGTCTGGCTTTCACAGTTTTCATACTACGTGCCGGCAGAACCAGTATACGGCCTCCAGTTCTTAACAAATAGTACATCATATGCAGACCGGGCGCCCGGTCGGGTTTCGGTTTTGCACCTTTTTGCTTATTAAAAATTGTTTTCGAATTTCCTGAGCATTTCAGCTATTGGGCTCGTGACAAGAGTGTCTCAGGAACACAGAAACACCATTACCTTGACATGGTCGAAAAATCGCTGGAGTTGGCCTTTAAGGATGCTCACAGTGGCACAATGAATTATGTATGAATGACAAGCACACATTCTATGCATAGTGTACAAGACTGAACTTGTATGAAAAAGAATAAAAAGCGTCATGTAATATTGCAGTACCCCGACACACACACTAAAATAAAGAATACAATAGCAGTAAGAATAAAAAAAATACAGCACCCACTGAATAAATATAGGAAAACATTCAGTACACAATGCAAATATAAAACATTAATACACACAAAAAGAGACATAATAAATTTAAAGAAATTCAGACCCACCGATCTCTTTTCGGTAATATTCAGATACCTAATACAATATGCAAAACACTAGACTTTAACGAAAAAAAAATATTTCCAAAAACAATCAAACCTAGAGAGCAAGCTGGCTTACAGACAGATATTTCACAATTTGTCACAGCCATGTGGTCAATCAATTTAATCTGCACAGCACGATAAATCCCTCTATATCAGTGGTCTCAAATATGCAGCCGGGGAGGCTCTCATGTGCGGGCCCACACATAACCATTTTCACTGCACATTTAAAAACATTTTCTTGGTATGTTCATGAGCTACACAGGCATGACTGCTCTAAAGAACAATTTTTATGAGGTACACCATGTTGTCACCATGCATTGAAACATAATCGTGAAACAAAAAATCATCACCATATCCAGAAAGTGAATGATGTTAGGTGAGCTTGCTTGGAGATGATCAGGTCACCCGCGAATCCTCCGTACAAATCTTCTATTACCATATATAGACGTGGCAATGTTATATATACATAACATACTCAATGTTTATTAATTTACATTTGGATTCACTATATACTTTTTGATGAACTATATACATTATATATACTCAAACGGAATTGTTTCAATGGTATGAGTCATCATGACAAACATCTTGCCTACTAGAAGAGCTAACTAGTCACGGGTGGCGATTTCACGTCGATCGCCTCAAGGCATTTCAAGGGCCACTCACATAAAAAAACGCTCATGTTTTGAGGCATAGTGTGCACTAAACAGGGTTCCTTTAAAACTTACACAGCATAGGTTCTTCACTTCAAATACATTACAATGTAAAGGAACTTGGAGGGAAGCATACATAGGAAGCTCTTTCGAGTTCCACAAACACAACCACCTTTCTGATTTCAGAGCATTCGACCAGTGATGTATTCGCTGCCTTGTGATTTACTTTCAGCACATGTGACATGGCCACCAAGTTGTACATCACTGGACTGCAGCTTAATTTCCTTGCAGATATATATGCTTTGTTGTCGCTGCCATGGTATATTTCTTCAACAATAACAAAATGCCCATTTTGAAGTTCAACAACAGAGCTATTGGTCCTCTTGTTAGATGCATACATGCTATCAGTGATAATTGATCCCTTCGCCAACATTCTTCTGTATTTGGTGAACTCAAGGGTAGTGTCATGTAAAGATGGCTGCAAACCTGCTGATGCACGTCGGGAACCGTGTCCGAAAAAACGGTAGCCACCACTACTAAGTACGCTTTTTTGCGTTTTTGTGCCATCAAAAGACGAGCAGTACTCTGCTACACTTGGACTGATAGCCTGCCGTTGAAGTTCTACTACCATGCTTTCCATCTGTAGGACTCGGCAGACTTGATGGGGAATTCCGTTAGCTGCTTTTACAGCTTTTTTTAGGCTGCCGTTCCCAGCTTCAAATGGGAACGCACTGTGTGCCCAAAGTGGTCCCCAGTGGCGCACACTCTTTGCTATATGAGTCAGTTGGTGCATGTTGAATGTCATGACTGACTTGCCAAACAGCAGTTCTGCACGCACATGAAACTCCAACAATAGCCCCTCGGCAATGGTGAGCTCAGTTGGGCTGATTGCACGCTGCAACATTATGTGCAAGGCTTCAACTAGGCAAGCCCAGTGTTGCATGTATGGCTTCTCAAGAATGCCATGCAAAACAGGGACACTGTAACAAAGTAGCCAGCTCTCAAGTTCCTTGGCCTTCCACCATTTCCGCTCTTTTGTCGGCCTCGGCAATCGCTTCACATCCATTGGTGGCTTAATAGACATAAGCCTGCGGTCCACTATGTGCTGATGTCGGCTTATTGAACAGGCACTATCAGAATTGAACCACAATTCTAGGAACTGGCGCGCTACCCCCAGCAAGACACAGTGCATATAGTCTGGCACAAAGCTCCACACTATGTTAAAATGGGGCAGGTTTATCAACGGTGACACTGTTTTGACTCCTTGCACAGGCACCCCCCCTTTCAAAGCAATCTCCATGTCATTTAGCATTTGGAGCTCACTTCTTTCTGTGGGTTCAACTTCCTCAACTGGGTATTTAGTTGCCCCGCCAGCTCTCTCACCTCTTTGGAGACACCAATTACATCCAAAATACCCATTAAATTGGGTTACACCTTGCATCGGTGCCCTAGCAACAGAATCTACACTTGAACAGATACAATAGACCTTATATTTTTCAACCCTTCCTTGACGTTGTAATTCAACGCCATTCTCACACAGCTCGTTCATTTTCTCAACAAAAGTACCTTGGAAAAGTGCCATGTTTGGCTTTTCTTTCCAGAACCACAATGCGGCCAGGACCAATTTGGACATTCTTTGCTGTGGAGGGAGCTCATTAACAATTAGCTGGATGGGCCAAATTGATGTCCCACTTGATTTGAAAAGCGGGGTCCCATCTGCATTCAACGAGAAACTGATTCTTGGTCCACAGTGTTGAGATTCGGCTACAAAAGTACGATACATTGTACCATCCCAGATGTCTGAAAATGTCCCATTCGTCGGAAGGGGCTTTGTTAAATCAAGAAGATCACAGTCCTTAAGTAGCCTTTGAAGTTGCGACTCCACATCGAGAGTGACAAAAAAGGGGGCATCCGAAAGGGAAGACACAAAAGTTGTGTGACTGCACTTCGAGCATTTCAAGTAAGAATTTGTCTCAAGACTGCCAATATGCGAAAAGCATCTCGGACAAAAAAGAAAAAAGTCATAGTGGTGCCAGTTTCGCTAAAAAGTTTATGTAGGTGATACTGTGAGTGAGGTAATATAGGTTTATCAAAAATTCTGTTAATTAAATCTATTAAGCTAGTTAAACCCAAAAGAGTCAAATTATTCTTCACAGCATGCTTTAGTGCCATTAGGAGAATATCTCCCTTCGAAAGAACCACTTTCTCAGTGACAAGTTGTGTAAAAAGGTCTCCAAAGCGTGCCTTGCAAGATGGATCAGGCTCTGTCACTGGATCTGCAGCAGGCTGCTGAAAGTAAAAAAAAAAAAAGCTTTCGTCAATGAAGCTATCACAGAATTCAGTTATAGTGAACCGTGATAAGCCCAATGAATATGAGCAAACAACTCTGTTATTGATCAGTACAAAATATCATGCCTGCTAGGCTGATAACTTTTTACAGACCAACTGGTGAGATATTCTTTAAAATGAAAGAGCCAGTGATCTTGAAATGAATCATTCACCAAATCACCGCTACGTGTCCCTCTTAACAGTGCCCAATTTACACAGACATTTTCCAGTACATAAAAGAGCCTGTGAAAGTAGTGCCCTTAAAACCTGACCATAAATCTAGTTATTTCCAGTGAAAACAAACACACCATGTCATCATCTAATGTGAGAAAATCTCCAGGGAAACCTTGCTGTGAAGCATGGTCACTTGAAAAAGCTTCCTGTGAAGAAAAAAAAAATAAGCATTTAGTGCCACAGTAACCCAATCTGCCTATTCTAGTTAGCTGTGCTAGTTCACTCATAGCACGTAAATTACATGACAACAGACAGTGTTAAGAACATGGTCTGAAAACCTGTTGCAGGTTGTTCCCAGAGTTTATTGTCCCAAGTGATAACTCGTCTTGAACTGATTATGCAAGAGAAAACCACAGTGCCAATGCACTTGCTCAAGGCTATTCTAGTGGATGTGAATCTTCCAGCTGCACATATTTGTAGAGTGCAACTAGTGTGTAAAAGTTACCTCTTCATCCTTATCAAACAGTGACGAATCATCTGCGTCAGAAAGGCTTGCAATGCCGTCTTGAAGTGGAGAGTCCTAAAAAAAAACCAACCAAAATTTATAATTTCCCATCGTAATACATAAGCATAAAATAGCATGTGTATGCTTACTAATTAACTGATAAGCCTTAGTAAATAACTTCATCTGCTGGGGCGTGAGGCTCGCGTGCAGGAAATTTCTGTGACGGATCAGCGCTGTTCCTCTGCTCTTGTGCTTCAGGGGCTGCAGCAGGAGCTTCCATAGCACTGCCAGCTGACGAGCCTAACCGGCCTCCACTTGACGTTACCTGTGATAGAACAAGTGCGCCGATATAGTAAACGGTTTATCGTATAGAAACAATAGTTCTCGTAGCATTCTACTACCAGCTCAATTTACCGGCTCATTATCGGACTCGGGGAAATCTTCTTCACTTTCCGGACGTTCGGAGCCCGGACTAGCTATGTGACTATTCCGGCTCTTCAGTGATGTTGTTCGACTTGGTGGATCTGCCCTTTCAGTGTCGCTGTCTGCCTCATCACTCGAAGAAGGCATGCTAGGGCTGGCACCCTAGAAGAAAATAATGAGATTTGGACTTAAATTGCTGCGCTAAATTAATGAAAAAGAAAATGCACTGATAAAAAATAGCAATTTAACACGGCCGAGCACATTCGATCATTCGCGGGCAGAACTATAAAGGGTGGTAAAAAGGAAGACCGTAAAACACGGCGCAACGATCGAAGTCGTTGAGCAACATGCAGATTAATGTTGTGGACAACCGCTGATCTGATACCAGCAGGGCCCGGATCAAGCTAAAACCCCGATCGAAAGTGCCCATCCATGTTGAAAATGATCAGAACTTACGGTCGGCGGGCAAGCGCGTGCGGTGCTCCTTGGTAGCTGGAACTGAGACTTGGGATTTAATAAGTCTTGTAGGGTCCTCTCTTTCTTTTCTTCGGACCGCGCTCCATCGCGAGGTCTTGAAGCAACAAGACGGCTTATTTCACTCCGGGACACGAAGTACAGAAAACGGCGATGTAAGCGATAGGACAATGTGCACCGGCTGCCTGCGGCCACAGCGGCTGCCATATTGCATAGACACCCTGCAGCCAGCAGTCTGCATGTGAATTGATTGAAACAGCGTAGCGTTAAACAAACATTATAAAAGTAAAAAAATACTTTTAAAATTATTCTGATTTTTTGTTTACTTATAATGAAGAATAACATTTTCATTGACAAACTATCAGATCCGCAGCTGCGGTCGACCCTTGTTGCTTGCTGTGTGCGACCAGCGTTTGACCAGCTGTAGCGCACGTGTGTAGATGTTTTTCTTCAGCATTGCAAGATGATTACCCACGTTCGAGTCCGGTACGAAGATGATAAAAAATTGGAACGGTGCCAATAGAAGACGTTAAAGATTTCTTCCCCCGTCACCAGCAAGACTTCAAGTCCAAATCCCTCTATTTAGTCAAATGGACGGACGACAGTGGAGACAGCGATTACTATAGGGCCCGGATTCTGGCACTGGGAGGTAAGCCTGCTTTTGTTTGATATGTTGCCGGCGAAATGCATTCTCTTTGGCCTGGCTGACTGCTAAGCACTGTTCACCGTTAGTAACTACAAAGTATTTTATCGATAATCTCCACTAGCATAGTTCATTTTGTTAATTTACCGCGTGCAATCGCAAATAAGTATGGTGTCATTATTAATTTATGCATATACCTGAAAACTCTACGGAGATGACGCTGGTATTTACCTGGCCGCAGAGAGATACCAACAGCGTCGGGTATATCAGCCTGGAGTATATAAGGCCCTTTTGCGGTAGGACGCGCCTTTGTTTGTGGCACTGCAGCTTTTATACCTAATGACAAGGTCTATACGCTACTATTTCGCTCGCGGCATATGACGTTGTGTTACAACGGTACTTAAGCATTCACACGAGGTTCGATGGTTAATTTACAATGCAATAAAACTAATAAAAGTGCATGCTAGAGATCGTGAAATGTGCACGCGTCAGAGGATGATGTGACACTAACTCAGTAAATGTTAATGTTGCAATCCGCCCTCACGTCTTCCAGAATCGGAGGACTTCGCGGAGACAGAGGCCAGAGAGAGAACGCGTATTCCGAAGAGGGTTTATTCGCCGGCGTCTTCGGACTACGAGAATGAAGCGGAGGTAAATTATTATCTAAACCTCCTACAAAAGGTCCTGTCAACACTTGTGTAAACAGTGTGTAACAAGTTATTTTCTATTTTCGCCCAGAGCCCTATCAAAGAAAAACGAAAAACAAAACAACAAGTGGTGCAGAGGCACGCCTGCTTCAGCTTTTAAAAAGCAAGAAAGGAAAATATGAAGAGGCAGGCGAAAAATCAAGATGGGCCACATTCTAAAAAGCACCACAAAGAAGCAATGGACAGTGGGCGCCTTCAGGGGGCTCATGAAACCATTGATAACCTTGAAGAGCAGGTAGAGAAAAAATCTACCATCATTCGCCAACTGCGAAAACAAAATGAAGAAAAAGACAGGGAGATGGCTCAACTCAGAAGACTGAACATGGAGCTTCAGGACAAGGTTATTTCTGCACTGGAAGACATGAAAGGTATGAAGCAGAAAATGTCTTCATTGTACTGATTTTGTGCTGTGAAAGCATTAATGCCATTCTTCTGACATTTAGCAGTGTGTACAGCTTGTTACCATAAAACGTTCGGCAGTCTTTAAGTGAAGATATTTCGAGTTTAGACTGCAAATGGCTATTGTTTACAGCTGTTTGATGAAATTTAATGAAAATATTTTGTCAGCTCTTTTTCCTCTCTGGGCAATGCAAACAGCACGGCACCTCATGTATAAATGCAGGCTGCAGAATTATGAAAAGGATCATGGATGGCAGCCAGTCGAGCCCCTCCGTGTCTGAGGATCTACAAGACACCTTGACAGAGCGAGCCCTTCGCCCAGGTTCATCCAATCCGCAACCGAATGACAGTGAAACAATGGTATTCTATCTGGAATGTCAATAATGTGCAGCTGTCCAAATTACAAACAACTGTTCTTTTGAAAGCATGTTAAAATAATATAAAGCAAGATTGAGCATTATAGATTACTTGTCATAGAAGTTTGTCTCTGCACAGCTGAGCAAGACATTCCAAAAAGAGTTCAGTGATCATTATAGATATGTGTAAATTTTAAGCAGAACTTATGAACAACCAAAAAAAATGAATTTCGTTGTCAGCAACACAACTTACTAAAACAACTTCACTAACGTACTTGTTGGACAGAAATATTAAGGAATACACTTGGCCTTGTCTGCTGCTGTTTTAGCCATCTCGTGCTGCGCGGATTCAGCACAACCTCACTGAGAAGGTGCAGGCACTTTGTAAACTGGTCTTGCACAAAGGCTGCACTTTCTCTCAATGAATACTGTGGTGCTGACACCACCATGTGCAGTTCATAGAAAGAATGCTAGAGTGCAGCACCACAAAACTGGCTGACAAAGTGCTGGTGAAATGAATAGACCTTTGTTGTTTATGATATGCAATACAGGTTGCACTGCACATGGATGCCTTCAGAATGCATATGTTCCGTGCAGGTGGACATTGGACGAGGGCTTATGGTCAAGAAAGGTGCATGGGAACATGTGCAGTCCCATCATAAGGATTCCTTATTTGTCAAGGACCTGCTAGTCACCATCTGGTCGAAAGACAACCTTAAGGAGCGCTCCCTGCATGGTTGGTTATAATACAAAAGCATAGTGTGTGTCAGTTGGTAACGGGGGAATTCGTTGTTGTGGATATCTGTTATGCAGGAAAACATTGTCCACGGTACCCTAACCGTCCACGCAAGGCTCCCCTAACACCGTGGAAGTTGGACGTAATGCGTGGTAAGTGTGCAGACAGTCTCTTGGAATGCATATTGAACCAATCTTATTCTTAGTACATGAAATCACAGCAAAGCTCGGTTGCAATTGAGTCTATTTTGAAGCCACTACAAACTTTACTGTCTGCTTTGACTTCAGTTATGAACACAATTTTACATAAACTATGTAGTTGTAAAAATGTGACCCAACACCTTGCCTCTTACTTACTATTAAATTCATTTGTTTTAGTCAGGAGTGCAGGCAGGTGAAAGTCTTAAGTCTCTTAAATGCACTGGTAGTTCAAAAGATAGTCGAAAAAAAGAAAAGCCAACAATAGAGCTAGTGTGTAGACTGCCAGCATTTTTTTCATCATAACTTATATCTCTTTCATAAAAAATGACAAAAAAAGAAATAGTGTTCTCTGCTTTCTTCCTGCACTATATAAATCCACACAGTTACATGGTGCGAGTGGAGAGCTGTGAAATGTTACTTTTTTAGATTATTTTTGTGCATGTGCACGCTAAGTTCGCAGTTTCCTTTTTTCTAATAAATGCTGGAACGGAACACTTTTGCTAACTGGAGAATGCTTTCTGTATTGTTCAAGCCTGTGCTGCTAAGGCATATTCTAGGCCATTCAGCATATAACACTTCATTGCATCAAGAAATATGACTAAAAGTTCAATTTTGAACTTTTGTGTTCTTAAAGTAATATCGATGCTATTAGTTCTTTAAGCAGCTGGTTTCTTCAAGGCTATTTATTGATAATTTTTGTTGTTTCAGACTGCTACAGAGCACGTCTGGAGCATCAAGGCGTGCCTGCAGGAGTACTGCCGTTGGCAGTCAAACAGATGAACCACTTCATTGTTGAGAAGCTTTCAGATATTGAGAAGCTTGCCAAGCGGTAAGATAAGTGTGTTCTTTGTGTCAAAGGACTCCCCCCCCCCCTTTTTTTAAGAGAAACTTGGCCATATTCATCTGCTTGCAACATGCATGTACAGAAAGAGACTGAGAAAATTTGGAGGCTCGTCTGGCATTTTGGCGCAGCGTGGCGCAATATGGTTTTGGCAGCTCGGCGCAAAAGCGGGGAATTGTATCAAATTCGCGTAATTGGCACAGCTGTTGTACCCCTTCAACATGCATAGCTATTTTTATGTTAATGTTTTTATGTTAAATCACATCTAGACTTGGAAGAATGTAAGCCATTGTGTGGCTGACTAAATGTATAAATTCTGCAAAACATTTGCAGGGCGAAGGACAACCAGGGCGTTGCGGAAGTTTAACAGAGGAGGACCATTGGTGCATTTTCTAAATAGTGTAAATATTATGGAATGTGTGAATAAATTTTCATTCTTTCATATTTTTTTTTTCTCTACCATTGTTTTTATCTTGTATGTGCATGCATTTGAGTGTGCATTAATGTCACATTCACACTAGGTAATCCAGCCTGTGCTGTTTCCACTGTGTTGTGAAATTGCAATTAATGAAGTGCAGTGTGATGACAGCCAGCCTTCTACAGGATTGTCATTTTCTACTTGCATCCGCAGAAATGTGATAATCATGTTTATAGGTCAGCCAAGAGACTGCAATTACTACACTACTACTTAGCTTCAGTTGGCTCTCTCTGTATACCAACCACTGGCTGGCTGAAATGCAGTTAGCAATTTAGCGTCAACCAAGTGCTTACCAGAAACTAATGGCCAGCCATATTAAATTGGCTTACCAGGTAGAATGGTGACTGGCTAAACACCAGCTTTTGTCACTGGGCCAATCATCTGGATACATGCAGTGCAGCTTGGTCGAAGACCAGAGAGTCACAACGCAGACGAGCGCTTGTCTGTGTTCTTTGTCTAAGTTCGCGCTGCATGTATCCAAGTATGTATCAACTAGCCCAACTCAACCTTTTATTGAAACATATGGAATCATTGGAGTCTCAATTACCATCAAAGTGCTGACCATTTGCAACAATGTGGGAAGTCATGTGGTTACCAGCCACATTGAATTTGCTTACCAACTAGAATGAATTGGGGGCTGTTTGGAATGCCAGTTACGATCAGTGGGCCAAACATCTGGAACCACAGGATTACCAGTTAGCTTCAACGGGTTAGTCTACTGAGACCTGCCGGGCAACCACGTGCCTACCATTAATTTTCAATGGGTTGACCATTTCAGGTCAACGGGTTTTCTATTCACCACCAGTTGGCTTCAACAGGTCAGCCTATTCACACCAAGTGGACAACCACCAGTATACCATTTAGTATAAATGGGTTGACCATTTTAGGTCAATGGGGTTTCCTATTGACCACCAGTTAGCTTCAACAGGTCAGCCAATTCACACCAGGTGGACAACCACCTGCATACCATTTAGTATTAATGGGTTGACCATTTGAGGTCAATGGGGTTTCCAATTGACCACCAGTTAGCTTCAACAGGTCAGCCAATTCACACCAGGTGGACAACCACCTGCGTACCATTTAGTCTTAATGGGTTGACCATTTGAAATCAACGGGATATTTAATTGACCACCAGTTAGATTCAACGGGTTAGCCAATTCACACCAATTGGACAACCACCAGCGTACCATTTCGTTTTCATGGGCTGGCCATGTGAGGCCAAAGGGGCTACCAGTTTGTCACCAACCAATTTCAAATGGTGCGCACCATTGCAACTAACTGGCAATTGCTCAGCACCAGCCACACTTAACTGGTAGCCAATGGGGTCCCCTGTTGAACCAGTTGCATTGAAGTGGTGAGCCACTTGGATCCCCCTTTGGAATATAAGGGTTTACCCATTGATTCGAACGGGATAATGTTCAATGGGTGGCGAAAATCCTACTGGTCCAACACCCATTGATTTTAAATGGAAATTTTCCAGTTGGACCCATTGAATATTTTTGACTGGGAATCTAATTATCTGATTTGTCCCTTCCAGTTTGTGGTGTCCACGGCCGACCATATTTAACCTCTTCACAGACAGGCAAGAGATAAGGTCTGTTGTGCTGTCACTTTTCAACTTGTTAAAACTGAAGCAACATGTGAATGCATCTTCCATAGCTTTGACCAGGTCTGTTAAGGACTCGGACGGGTGCAGAAGGCATGATTCTGCTGGAAGCAAGCAGGAATTCTCAGAGTGAAGCAGCAACCTGCTACATCCTTTGCACTTTGTTCTTTTCACCATCTTCCGGGCCAAATAGCCACTGACGTAATAAGTGATCCGGAGTCACTTTTGCGTCCAATGAGATCTATGTGGTCAGGAAGGGCTTCACAAATAACAAAAATTTCATGAACCTCATTGAGTTTCATGAAATTATTGTTATCGAATTCCGGCTGCATTTTTGATGGAAGCGAAAATGCTGTAGGCCCGTGTGCTCAGGATGTGGGTGCACGTTAAAGAACCCCAGGTGGTCGAAATTTCCGGAGCCCTCCAATACGGCGTCTATAATCACATGGTGGTATTGGGACGTTAAACCCCACACATCAATTATTCCTGGCTGATATAGCTACGCCTTTCCTCTGCACTTTCGATCAGCTCCACGTTTGGCCAAATATATTCGTAACTTTTACGCTCAGTTTTACGCTCTATAATATTCCTAGGCATTTCATGTGGAGACTTCGCTCGGTGAAGGCACGCAGTCAGCGGAATCTTGACATCTGTTTATATTCACTACAAGACAAAATTTACTTTTGTTTAACAGTGCAGCAATCACTCAGGGAGGTCATGATATGCGCGTTCTCAACTCTTACGACTACATAGCTCAATTTCCTGCAATATTCAGACTATAACAATCTCACATTACAAAGCTGCTATTCCCTTCACACAACTCATAAGAACACCAAGGCTATCTTAAATTTAAAAAAAACAAGGCATAGCCTAAATTATCATTTTTACAGCCTTTCTAGTTGAAAGAGAGTGGTCACTTAGTAATGCCTTTAATCAGGCCGTGAAATGTGACATTTCCACAGCCTTATGAGATTCCCTAGATTCAACAAAAAAGACGCCAGATCTCTAAATGAGGTAAAAAATCTCTAGATCTTAGGATAAATCTCTATAGGGTTGGCATCACTGCAGCTTACGGAACACAGTCAGATTATACGAGTTGCGAAACTACAAAATACACGTCCAAGTCACAGAAAAAAATTGTTAAACATTGCTGCTTGAGCTGGCCCATAAATACACACAACGCGCAGCTTGAAGGATGATAGGACAAAGCCATTGCGTCCAATACAGCCATGGAATACATGGTGATCGCGTGTTTAGAAAAGAACTGGTGACCGATTTAGAGTACTTGGTACTCTACTATGGGAGAGCACTAGGTCAACTAGGCCGGCCCGTGGGCCTCACACTGAAGATTGTAATGAAAAAGTGAGTAACGATTTAGAGTACTACAGGTACTCTACTATGGGAGAGCTTAAAGCCGTCCCGTTGGCTCGCCGCGCTGCTGAAGAGTATAATAAAATGCTTTATGAAATACACGACAGATGCGCTGGAGGAAGTAATCACTATCTACATACACGTTTGTAAAGCTAGTATAGCGACAGAATATAAACAAAAACTTTCTCTGAAAAAGGTTGTCACATTAGTCTTTAGCGAAAAGCAGAAGTAATTTGGCCAGAAAATGCAAACTTTTATTTTAGAATACGCATAATACTTACTTTAAGCAATATGCCTTGAAGAATTCTATAAACACTTTTTTTGAAAACGAGTTTATGTGTTCTCATCCATGTGGGTAACTTGAATCAGGGGAAGCTTTCGCCCCGCTTGTTCCGTAAAGATCGCCTAAGTGCACTGCTTAGGAACACGTGTTGAGTTGTTTATCCCCAGGAAAGCCTGTTGCTTGATAGCGCGTGTGTTGTTCTTGAAGTTCGTGTGCGCGCGGATGGTGTCTTGCCGGCGAAGTGTGTATGATCGTGTACTCCTGTCACGCTGCATGTCGCTCTCCGTCTGTTCCGGTTTTTACGACCATCGAACGTATCGAGATTGCTGGTTGCTCTGTTGCTTTATTTGAAGGGCCTCGCAATTTCTGAAGTCGATCACGTTGGCGAACTCTTTGCATGTGGGTATATGCACTTGAAACAAGTAGCGGATCTGAACGAGGCAAGCTTCCCCCATTTCTCTCAATCGCTTCTCAAATTTTATCTTGCTGCTAGCTTCCCTGCCTTCCCTTCCCTTCCCTGCCCACATGCAAACGTGTGCCAGTGCCATCTGGCGGTTTTCTTCCGAGGCGTTATGCGCTAGCCGGCGCGTTCATCACACTTCCCTTATCTAGCCACAGTAGCAGAAGTGACGTGCGTAGAGGTGTGCTCCAGCTGATCGGCACGCCACCACCGCCGCTGATGTGTTTTTTGAACGCGCCGATTAAAACTTTTTTTAGAAAACCGACCCGCAGGCGCGATACGTGGACGCAGCCAAATATCCGGGACGTAATGCCTTCGCGATTTTCGTCGCAGTTTACAAGGGCGTGGTACTGGCATCGGTGACTATCCTCGCCAAACGTGCAAACAGCTGAAGAGGCTGCTATAGCACTTGCCACCCAGACGAGTGAGGATCCCATCGTGGTCTTTACCGACTCACAAACAGCGGCACGGAACTACCTGAAAAGCAGGGTCTCCACGGTGGCGATTACGCTACTAAAGCGCATGGACAATCCTCGTCCCTACACATGCATCGTGTGGATTCCGGGTCATGAAGGTCTCGAGGGAAATGAAGCGGCACACACCGCAGCCCGCGAATGCGTCAACCGGGCATTCCCATACAAGATCCTAGGCACCTCCCACTCAACAACAGAATCAGAGACAAGAGAAGCCATACCACTAACGTACCATGCATTACTGCAACATTATCGGCTCGAACGCAGGTTATACCCCCCGCCACATTCAAAACTCACAAGAGACGAAGGGACTGACTATAGGCGTCTTCAAAGCAACACGTTCACACACGGCGTACTATTGCACCATATGAGGCCAACGTTGCACAGCTACATCTGCCCTCACTGCAATGTGGCAGACACTCTGGCGCACCTCCTACTGCAGTGCAAAGTAAGCGTCCCAAGACTACGAGCAGCAGCACCAGATGCGGACCAAGACCTCCTCAGTGAAGCGTGGGAGGCTGCGATCTCTCAGCCGGACCTAGTCGAGCAGTGTCAACTCGTCGCTCGAGCTCGGCGGGCTGTCCAAGCCAGAGGGTTCCTGGAATAAGGGACCCTCCCACCTTCACTCACAAGCTTCTTTCAATAAATGTTTTCTCTCTCTTTTCCATTACATATAGTTCACGTGTCCTAGACTTCTCGCATTACAATCACAGGCACAGGGCACTTTTGATAACGATCAGGGTCGACATGGGCCGCATTCTTTTTATCACGATATACA